CCTTACAACGAACTTTCTTGACAATTTAACAAGAAATGATATAGAACAGTAATTTCATAGAGTTTTAGTTTGTTTATTTGCTCTTTTGTTTTTGTCAAAAGATATACTTAATTTTTAATCTAATCAAAATGTTTACATCTAGAGCAAGAAAATTAAATAAAAACTCAAGGTCTATCTCGTCCTAAACAAATGGACCACCATGTTTGGCAATAAATGAGGCAATCGCAGCCAAGTTGTTACCTCGTGGCACAAACCCAATTTTGACATCTCCAATATGCTTCACCAAAGAATCAATATCAAACATAAGACATTCCAAATCATCATCCACTTCAATTTCCTTGTTAATCATTCACAATAACACCTGGCATTCGATTCAATCTCCACCTTCATAAATCCCTCGTTTTTGCAAAATACAAGTGTTGCAAGAATAGCCTCTGCTTCTGCCAAGATTGCTGAATTAAAAGGCCTCTTCCTCGCCCTTCTTGCTCTTCGCAAATACCCCACAAAATCTCGAATCACCCACCCATAACTCCCCAACCCTGTTTTAGAATTCCATGATCCATCACAATTTACTTTCAATGTATGAAACTTTCGTTTCCTCCACCCTTCAGTTGCTCCGCCATCCTCTCGTGCCCCAGTCTTCTTTGACTTAACCAAAGAATCCCTGACCACCTTCTCAATTACTCGATGCTCACCCACATGTCTCATTCATACCTCAATTGCCTCCATTGGATTCTCTGCTTTCTCTTGAAACACCACATCATTTTTTCATTTCCAAATTCTCCACAACCCAAAGACCATGTCTTGGAGAATTTCTTCCTACATTGCCATCCCTTTTATACATGACAGCAAAGCCTCCCAACATCCCCTAAAGTCTTGTCCCACTAGAGACAACGAATCAATTTGTAATGGGCAGCAAAACCAGAACACCTTACTGAATTTGCACCAGAGAAAAAGATGTTCCTCTGTTTCCTCCACAGGGCCATACACCACACACCTTACCATCCACATTCATACATCTCCAAAGCAAATTCCTTCTTACCGCCAGTGAACCGTTGCAACATCTCCACATAAAAAATTTTAATTTTTTAAGAACATGAAGCCCCCAAATTCCTTTCCACAGGCAGTCCCCTTCAGCCTTCCCACTTGCCATGCCCATAACCCTTCTTTTGAAATCCTCATTCACTTGCAACTCCATCGCAACCTTATGCCCCGTTCGAACCGTATATCCTCCATGTTTCGTATGATGCCAAATAATCCTATCCTTACAACCCATCAAACTCAATGGTATTCCCAAAATTAACTTTGACTCTTCCTCATCAAAAAGCTCATGTACCATCTCCATATTCCACCCACCCAAATCAAAATCACCCATTCCACCCTCAAAGCATTTCAAGTCTAAAGTTTGAAAGTGTTGGGTATAGGAATCCAAGGATCCCTAGTGACTTTGATATTCATTCCATCCCCTACCTTCTAGCGCAACCCCCTTTCAAGAATTTTTTTCCCTTGAAAAATACCTTTCCAACCCCATGACGATTTACACCCTATCTTTGCATCTAAAAAAGTTGTGTTCGGAAAGTATTTATCTTTAAGTACCTGAGTCAACAACGAGTTTGGAGCCATCATCAAACGCCACCCAATGTTAGTCAGGAACGCAAGGTTGAAGCATTGTAAGTCCTTGAACCCCAATCCACCACCCACCTTTCTCTTCTTCAATTTTTCCCATGAATCCAAGGCATTCCTAAATTTTTTTTTTATTTCCCCTCCAACAAAATCTTACTATTTCCTGCTCCATCTCTTTGCACGTACTCACCGGAAGCTTAAAACAAGACATCGCATAGTTTAGCATATGATTTCTAACTGCCTTTCTCAAATGATTTCCCTTTCCATCTCTTTGCACGAACTCACTGCTTTTCTCAAATGATTTCTAATCACACGATACACATTGAATGGCTAAGATGTGAGAATCTTTAAGATACGCACAATTTAAATCTGGATGGAATTCAAAAGCAAATTATATGACTTTTTTTTTTGTCAAATGAGCAATGCATTGAAAATGCCAAAGATGAAGAGAAAAGTACAAAGAAGCTCATAAGAACAGTTCCACCGGAGGTGGAATAGCTCAGCACCCAGTCAAAAAACCAAACTGGGGGTCTGTCAATCCACTCCAGCCCACAAAACTACTTGGCACCCAGCCCAAGCTAGGCAAAAGACCAGCCCATTTTTTATTGACCCAGGGACTGGCCTATTTGGCTGGCGCGTGCAGCTCACTCGTGCGTGGGCGCGAGTAGGGGACAAGTGTGCAAGCGGCGGGGCCCGCTGTCAGCCCACTTGCTTTTCACCCAGAAGAGGTGACGTGGCCCTTTCTATGCTGTTGGATTTTCAATGGCTAGTTTTTCTAGACCGTTGGATTTCCAACGGTAAAAAAATTTTGAATTTTACTTTTAAACTGGACCGTTTGATCACAGATCAATGGTCCACAATTTTTCCCCCAAAAAAAAAAAAAAAAAAAAAAAAAGGCTCAACAGTCAGAATTATAACCGTTGGCCACATGGCATCTCCTTGGCTCTTGGATTTGAATTTTTTTCAAATCCAACGATCTAGATAAATTAATACATTAAAATTTATACAAAATTATAAAAAAGTACATAAATTTTTCTAAAAACTTTTTTTTTTTTCTATAAATACCTAACCCTTATCTTCCACCTTACACCATATTTCAATATTTTTTACACTTTCAACATTTCAATATTTTCTACACTTTGAGAGAAAAAAAATGACTTCATGGAAGCTCATTGAAGATGTTGCGTTGTGTGAATGTTGGGTGCACACTACCCATGACCCGATTATGGGTAATGAGATGGATAAGCGAGAAATGTGGAGTAAAATTACGAAAGCATTTTGCGATGTACATGGAAAAGATGCCAGAAGTAGTTCAGGTCTTCAAGGTCGTTGGAAAAAACTCAACGCATCTTTTACTTGTTGGAAAAACGCCATCTCTCATGCTTCGGGTAATCTGGGTAGTGGGACAAGTTTAGCGGATTAGGTGACAATATTTTTATTTATTTATATGCATTCCACCCGCATCAATATTTTAATTTATTTATGTGTGTTACACCCGCATTTTTTAATACTATGTTATCCCACATATATAGACACTACAAGCACAAGCATTCTACAATGCAAAGAACCATAACAAATCATTCAACAAATGGGAATGTTGGCAAATTGTCAAAGATTGCCCCAAATACAAAATTGTGGCAACTGGTCCAGAAGTTGTCATGCACGATATGGGTTTACATAGTTCACCAGAAGCAGACATGACCGAACAAGAAACCGACACATTTTGCGAGACGGAAATGATGCCTAAAGAAGTACCAGAGACCCAATCGACTCGTCAGTCCCTCAGGCTTCAAGGTAAAAAGGCATCAAAGAAAAAAGGTAATTCTTCCAAAAATGACTACACTAAATATATGGAGGAACTTACTCACCAAGGTGAACTGAGGATGGTGCAGGAAAAGGCAAGAGATAAGGAAAAAGCTGCTGCTATGGCAACAATATTAGTAGCTACTGAGAGATGTGATGCAGCGGCTGAGAGACAAAGAGAAAAAGTTAATCGAGAGAACGAGATGATTAGAGAAGCACCTAATCGAGAAAATGAGATGCTTAGAGAAGAAAAGATGGCTCAAACTGATTGTGACACTATGAACAAGCCTCTAGTAAGACTATCTCCAAATTCAAAATATTTTTGGACATCGGAAAAAAAAGAGGTCATGCGAAGAAGGTGTGCAAGAGATGAGGAAACAAGTCGAGGGGGCTCTAGCTACACAAATCCTTCCTACAACGAAGATCCTAGCACCATATATCCTAGCTCCGGAGATTTTGTATAATTTCGTATTTATTTGTAGTACTTTATTTAATTTCTTATGTAATTTTTATGTAATTTCGTCTTTATTTTTAGTACTTTATTTTTATTAATAGATGTAATTTCTTATTTATTATTAGTACTTTATGTAATTTCGTCTTTGTTTTTAGAACTTTATGCAATTTCAAATTTATTTTTTGTACTTTATTTAAACACATCAAATAAGATTACATAAACTCACCAAATAAGATTACATAAACTCATCAAATAAGATTACATAAACTCACCAAAAAACACACTAAATAAGATTACATAAACTCACCAAATAAACTTAAAAATAAAAAAACACCAATTAAATTTACATAACCTCACCAAATAAACTTTCAAAAAAACAAAAAAAATACACTAAATAAAATTACATAAACTTAAAATAGTACGTTCGGATAATGACACGTAGCGTGACGAGATTGGTTAAAAATCTTATCTGAAATTAAAACAATTTTATTTATTTATTTATTATTTTATAAAAAATTAATAATATTTTAAATGGGCTGGGTGTCAGCGCATTTTGTAGGGGTGGAGATCGTTTGTGTCATCGCATTTTTTTAGGGGTGGAGATGCTTTGGTTTATTACTGTTCATTGGAGTATATTACTGTTCACTGAAGTGGATAAATAGGCTGGGTGCTAGCACAAAGTCCTTAGGGGTGGAACTGCTCTAAGGGAAGCCAAAGTTTTTGTGAGGCAAGGAGACCGCTACGCACCATCTACATTTAATTTAAAAGAAAACTAATGAAAATGATTTGAAAATTTTGAGTTTTAACGATAAGGACAAAATAAAAAGTAAAGTGAATAGTATATAATTGAATTTTTAGTGTAAAAATATCGTTTTTCGTTAAAGTGAACAATATCGATAGTTTTTTGTTAAAGTTCCCTTAATTTAATCCAAGTGGGGCTCAGAGAAGACTAAACATTGAAATTTCATCGTGATAATTAAACAGGCAAATGATTTCGGATTGAATTAATTTTTTTTTAAAAATAATTTATGAATCGAGAATTACAAAATAGATTATTCAAATAGTTATGAAGTGCATCCTACACCTAATCCTCATTTTTTGAAAATACACGAGAACCCTTCCTTAAAGGACCTTGTACCCAAAGTCTCCACACCTTGAAATCATCAAAGAAATTCATGTTTATATCCTTAATTGAGTTTTGTCTCACTAAAACCCTACTCTTGAATCTTCGAAGACCTCTCGTCTTCTTCGTGGTTACTCACACCTCAGCGAAATACCATTCCCTGAATCCCCTCGCACTACTCTGACTCGCCACCCCCACCACTCACTACAGAGTCCAAGAAACCCATGTACGTATGGCCTGCCCTCCTCCTCCCTCCTAATCGTTTTCTATTTTAATGTTTGGGTTTTTCATCTTATGTTATTTGGAAATTTTGGTTGATTCAAAGTACTAATCTTTTTGTTTTTTTCCTGTAAATGTGCATTAGAAACATGGGTTTTATTGCTTGAAGTTGGTTTGTTGGAATTTCTTGTTTGTATCTTATCAGGGTAGGTGGCAACTGTGAATAAATAAGCAAACTGACGATTGCAACATTGAGTTTGAATGACTGAGAGGTTTAGGTTCTGGTGAGGCTATTGGATTTTCTTGGAGTGCTGCAATTTATTTTAGAATCTTAGGTAGAAATAAATAATTGGGGATTCTTGGAATGAGTTCAAAGTTGTGAAACTTGCAATTAGATTTTGAGGTGAGTTGATATTGAATTAGATAATGTAATCGTTGTGGATTCAAAGATGGAAGAAGAGAGAAAAATTAAGTTGGCTACTTTCCTGGTCCATCAGTTTCTGCCATGACCAACAAGGGATTGAATTTGGGAAAAGGATTAAACTTCTTTTTTCATCTCATAATGAAGCATGGTTTATCGAGTTTTGCGTGTAGACAGTAAAGTTATGCTTCTAAGGCTGATCACTTCTCTATAAGGGAGTAATATTCCCTGATAAGTAAACAGGGGCAAAGAAACTACAGTTGGGGTTAAAGGGCCATATGGACAGGGGAGAGTCCAAGACATGCCTCTGATGTTTCTATAAAGAATCACACAGAAAGAGAGGAGGGGCATTGCTGGAGAACCCACGTGGTTGATGTAAGATTCATGAGTTCTGTTGTGTGTGTGTGATGTTTGTGTATCTGTGATTTAAATGCAGCATGTAGAATTGTAAAAGCTATGAAATTCTGCGGTGGCAGTATATAATGGGATTGAAAATGTGCTTGAACATTATATGATTTCATGAGTTGCTTCTTTTCATTTTTGTTTCCCTGCTTTATTTCTCTGTATCCACTGGTACTTAAGATTTTATCTCTTGTCAAGCTGATGATGTTTCTCGCATGGAGACTAGTTCTCCATTTTTACTTTCTTTTTTTTGGAGCAGTGGTTTAATAGGCGATGATTGTCCCATCTAGGGAGAATGGAAACTAATGGTAGCAATTCTAATTCCAATGAAAATCAGCCTTCAGATGCTTCAAATATTGATAGGAGGGAGAAGCTTACTGAGAAAGAAGTTTTTATTAATCATGGTATGTCTCTCTGCCCAGAATCAACCTCAGCCAGAAAATATAAGGAGCTTGTTTTATTTGTTAGAAACCCCAAATTTTCCTTCCCGAGTAAACTATCAATCTACTATCAATACAAGTTGGTAGAAGTATGGTCAAGCCTTAAAACAGAACTCTTTTATTCTGAAGACTTTCTCTGAATTCTAGTGTGAATAAGAGTGGTTGTTTCAATTGGTATTAGGTATGTGGTGCATGGTATTTATAACTTTTTAGAAGTATAATAGGTAAACAGAAGCATTTATATAAACGAGTTGAAGAATTATCTACAGAATATTTATAATACGATCAAGATTTAGATTTCGGACATTGACTGCTGCTTGAAAGTTATCTAGCCTACTCAGGGAACTGTATGCCTCATTTTTTTTCTCCTCATTTTCTCACCTTGATGATTAGAATCTTGTGAAATAGTATCTTATTATTTCTGTAATGTGTATGACCTTATGATGCAGCGGAGGTAGCTTGGCAAGAGAGAAGAAGAGAATGGGTCGGTGATCAGTCTCAGAAATCACAAAGAGCGCCAAGAGAACCGATTATGAGGTACAGTTTTCTACATTTACTGTCACATTGGTGTTTTTTTGTTGGGATACAAGTGATAGTGGCAAGGGAGGAATCGATCCTAGGATCTCGAGTGTAGGGATAAATGCTGTTAACTACTTAAGCTACCGTCCCCCTGCTGGTCACATTGGTGTTTCAATACTAGTAGACCAGCCTAACAAAATGTATTCCTGGTTTATCTGGATTCCTATTTAAGTCAGGAGTAGGCTAATAGCCAATAATTTAGGTGGGAAACTGAAGCATTCCTCAACATTTGTGCCTCTTTTCTTTTATCTATTTTTGTATAGCTATAAACTTTACTCTTTTTTCCCTTCATTTCTTTGAGCTGTTTCTCCAATTGGATTTAAAATTGTCGAGTTCTTGACGTATTCTCGTAATGGATGGATCTTGAGGAAAATAAATTGGCATCTCTATTTAAATGTATGATCTTGTGAAGAAGAAAAAATTATGTAAAAAATGCAGAATACGTTTCCACTTGCATGCTAAGATTTTGAAAGAAATGTAATTCACAAGGTCAGTGAAAAAATCAAATGCTCCTAAAGTTGCAGTTCCTGGGTGCTATCATATTGTTGGCTATGTGTGATTCTTCCATATATACCTGTGTGGTGGATGTGCAACCTTTAAGTTGTAATGTGGAATCTTCTTTTTCAGCTGGACCACAACGTATGAGGATCTTCTTTTATCTACCGAACCTTTCCAGGAGCCCATACCTTTAGCTGTAAGTTTCTCTAATTGATTTCTTTTTCTTTCCTAATTTGGATGGTATCGATGTGAACAATTTAAATTGTTGCGTTATGCAGGAAATGGTGGATTTTTTAGTTGATATCTGGCAAGAAGAAGGCCTCTATGGCTAGTTGATTGGATATCCTGTGTCCATTATGCACAGTAAGAATTTTGGACCATTTTCTTTGTGCTTATTGATGGTGAAGCGAAGCTATATCTGAAATTTATTATTCAAGGTAGAGTCGGTTTTCTCCATCCTTATTGCTTAAACCAGAGTTGTTTGCAGTGGAGAAGTGAATCACATATCCATTCATCTTAGATTCTTACCACATTTGACTGCTAAGCATTTGTGTAATCAACTCGTCAGGTTCTATAGTTCGCTTTCGATACAGAGTCATTTGACTTTTTGCCTTTTGACAACTCTTTCTTATTGCAATGATATACAGTCTAATTTTCAACTTCATGGTTCTTATCCGGATGATTGTGGAGCTGGTACTGCATTGTGTCGTCAATTCCTCGTCCCTTCCATTAACAGAAGGTTTTCGGATTTTTTCTATATCAATATCGCATCATAAATTTTGGGTGTAACCGGTGATTTATCACTTGCTCTCTCTCACATCACATGTTACGAGAGATAGGGGAGGGTGATAAGTCATTGATTATATCGTAGAATCTCTCCTATTCGAGGCTAGTTACTGTTTGGGCTGTACATAAAAATATCACAGGCTTGCACATAGCTGAAGAACTTCTCAGCAAAATCGTCATATTCCCCGTCGTTGGGACGATCGTGAAGCCTCCAGCGCTCGAACCACGGATAGCGGTGTCAGCCGCAGCTGTCCATGCATATCTTCTCCGGGCTTGGGCTTGATGAGGAAATGTGAAGTTGGTCTCAATGGTGCGAGCGGAAATCTCTGCCGTAGCCAGTCGGGAAGCTAGTGGAAGTGAAGGCAAACCGTTCTCAAGCAAGTTATGATTAAATCGCTGGCGCGATTAACAAGTGATTTCTCAAAATAAAATAAAGAAAATATGTCGGATGTTGGTGGCAATCGATCAGAGGTCGCGCGACTTTTGATAACTTCTCTTTCTATAAATTTAAACACGTCTCCCGCTGACGGTATGCTTAAACTTGATGAGCACTGTTTGAACCATAAATAAAAATATGAAGCTTTAACGAAAAGAGTTTGGGTTAATTTTTATTTAATGAAAAATCACTCTAAATTATTATTTAATAAAAAGGGTTTAAATTTTAATCATGAGGACACAAAACTTTTATCTTAGGCCCTACAAAAACTAAAATACACGGACTTAACAAAAAGCCCAAACCGCATAACAATTAATATTCCAAAATTGCCCCTAATAGAGCCTAACCCAGGCTCGTTAGCCAAAGTTGCAGTTACTAAAATTCATCATCCCTCCACGCAATTAATGTTCACCAACCCAAACGGAGCCTAACCCCTTCACGCCAAAGCTGCCTAACACATGTACGAACCTATAAATTATGATATTCTTGATGATTTCTTACTTTAATTTACCACATATGTACATTTGCATGTTTGAGATTCTAAAAAATGAATTATGCTTCCAGTTCAGAGTATTCTGATTTGCATGTAGACGAAAACACACAAAAAAAAAAAAAAAAGGGAAATAAAAGTAACAGAGAAGAAATAGAGGTAGGTACCATAAAATTTCTAATATTCTCGATAATTTTACAGTAATATGTAAGTTTGCATGCCTTGAATTCATTGAAGGAGCAATGTTTCTGCAAAATGGTATATTTTTACTTCACTTTGATAACTACTCATTTTCTTATAACCCTTAAATAGTATTTTCTTGCCCTCATATGTTGGTTGCTTTGCTTAAATAACTTAAATATAATCAACATTGTATTCCAGTGGTGTTTTAGTTTAATAAACAATGTTTACGAAATAATTCACAATTTTAAGTTTCATAAATAGTGTTTACGAAATAGTTTACAATTTGCTTCATTTGTAAATAGAATTAAAATGTACAAAAATATTATAATATGTGATGCATTCACGAACTAGTACAAACATATATTACACTATTACACAAACTAGTGTGATTCTATGTTAATAATTTGTACATTCAACAAACAGTATAGTTTGATAAATAGTGTAGTTTTTTGTTTCTGTTTGATAAACAGTATGAATCTAGAATCAATGTGGTGTTTAGTTCATTTTCTTAAATAGCATGCCCTATTCTGATGTAAATCCATCAATATTTCAATATTTTAAGTTAAGTTTCGTAAGTACTTTGAGTTATTTTGATTGATAAATAGTGTGGCCATGTTGTTGTGGATCCAGAATCAGTGTGGTTTTCTAGTTGTGATGTATTCAGATAGTATGGTTTTCTAGTTCACTTTGATAAATAGTTCAGTTTGCTATGGTAAAAAAATGTGGTTTTCTAGTTCACTTTGATAAATAGTGTGGTCTGTACAAATATAAATCATTAAATAGTTTACTTTTTTTAGTTTAGTATCACAAAATACAAAAATGTGGTTTTCTAGTTCACTTTGATAAATAGTGTGGTCTGTACAAATATAGATCATTAAATAGTTTACTTTTTTTAGTTTAGTATCACAAAATACTCAGGTGTAGTTTTGTTCTAATTTAAGAAACAACGTAGTTTTATTTTTGTTTTGTTTGATGAACACTGTAACCTATTTTGATTTGAATTCAGAATTAGTGTGTTTTCATAGTTCATCTTCATAATAAAAAATTGTGGCATATTTTGATATAGGTACAAAAATAGTTGTAATAATTAAACTATGTTTATTCTTACAGATGGACGAAGCCAAGAAACCAAGAATGAAGACTTTAGCTGTAAAGAGTTCAGATAAGAAAAAGAATAAAAGACCTCCAACATCTTATGTGCAATACAGATGCAATGTTTTTGTGTTTGCAAATTCAATGCAATTGTACAAGTCAATGCTTCAACAACGCCATGATGTCTGCAATCATTTGGGCAAGACACCATTTTGGAGTCTGATCAAGTTCTATAAGGATGATGAAATCGTTGCAACGGAAAGAAAAAAGAAGTCTGATGTGGATATGATCAAGATTATACAATGCTATGATTCCAAGCAACAAAAGTTCAAATTCAAAAATCATGAGCCAAGAGGAATAACAAGTGAAGATGTTGTTCAAATCTTTGGATTGAACAACCAAGGAGTTGAACTACTAAACACAGACAAATCCACAAAGAACATGAAGGACAACTTTGTCAAAACATATTTCGCGGACCAAAAAATAGTGAAAAAAAGGACATTCTTGAAGCGTACCAAAAAGCAATTTAAGACGAAACTCCTGAAGGGTAAAAACTACTGCTTCAATCATATGTGCGCATCTCCTACAATCCCTCTTATTTGCAACCTCCGAACACACATCACAGAGAGCTTCATAACAATTTTTGGGGCATTGGACCAAATCAGCAATACAACTCGGCAAAAGGCAGTGAGGGACTACTTGTTCAAGATGATTAACAAATCAAAGAAAAAGAGGAAAAATGGAGAAGAATTAGCAACAACAAGCGGATGCACTACCCTTATTTTGGTAAGAAATAAGAACTATATTTTAAAAATGTGAATTTTGTCTTATAAATTACACAAGAAAGTAATTCAAAGTACTTATTTCATGCAATATTGGATTTGTCTTCACACCAATCCGGTGGAGACAATAAGTGGACGAGAAAACATGGTTCCTGCCATTGGAAGATGAGACATAACCAAAATCCACAAAGCAATCCGAGATATTTCAGTTGAACAAATTGTGGTAAGGACCAATAATAAAATTATTTCAATCTACATTTCAATAAACAATATATTTTTGCACTTTACAATTTCATAACATAGTGATCTTTATAGAAGTTTCAGAAGTAGTGGCTTCATAATCATACAGAAATAGTTCAAATTTGAAGTTCAATAATAATTCAACTTTGCATTAGTACCGACAATGAAATCTGCATAATCTCTAATACAACAAATCCAGCAATAGTTTCTAAATTTCTTGAAGAGTTCATGTTTGCAGTCTAAAAGAAAAGTGCATTTCAATAAATAGTGATCTATGAATAATGTAATAATACAAAATCCAAAAAATAATGTCATACTACAAATATTGATATTTTACAATTTCAGAAATAATGTCATAATAATGATCTAGGAATAGTTTAGATTTCACGTTGTATATATAGTTTCTCTTAGCATTTCTATAAACAGTAACATTTATTACGCTATTACACGAACTAGTGTGATTCTTTGTTAATAATTTGTACATTCAGTAAATAGTTTGCGTTTTTTAAAGTTTAATAAACAGTGTTTACGAAACAATGACATTAGCATGTAATTTAACATCTTTTTAATGTGTGACTATGTGCAGATTGGTGGTGGTATTCCTTGTGTTGAACCAAGTGAGCAAATTCCCGCTGCTATACCTTCTAAAGAACCAACAGAGGAGCATTCTAACATAAACTAAGAAGAAGATAATGTCATTCATTCACTTGCACAAAGAAATGAGTCTTCCAAGAAAAAAGAAAAGAAGACAACATGAAGGAAAAGGAAGAGAACTGAAGCTGAAGCTCAAGAAGATCACAGTAACACCATCAATGAAGCTTAATTATAGTTTGATCAACTGTATTGAGAATAATTGATGAAACTGGATGCAATTTATCAAAAGGACATCATCAGGATTGATAACACATTAGGTGTGGAAGGTTTTGAAGAGTTTAAAAGATGTGCGAGCATGGATCAAAAGAGGTATCTAGTCCTCAGTCACATGATGATATATGCACTCGACAACCTACACACAGATTCAATTGTAATGAATTAAACAACTGGAGCACTCAACATAATCATTGAAAAGCTTCTGCAAGAACGACATGAGGACAAGCAGAAGATTAGTTCAATGAAAATTGAAACGAGACTGTTGCAATTAAAGAACACAGTCAGCTTTTATGAAAGTAAATAAACTTCTAGATGAACTTGGAAGTTTGAAGAAGAAACTACTAGAAAAGCAACCAATAGTACCAAATCGAAACGTTTCAACCGAGGAAGATCAAAGTTTCAGGGATCCAAATGAAAAGGATCCAAAAAATAAGGAACCACCTAAAGAAGATCCAGATAATGATGATGAGTTAAAGAGTATACATATGATAAGGATACTACTACTGAGGATCCAGTTTGAGAAAATGCAACTAAAAATGATGTGGCTATAGAGGATCGAGAACAAGGGTATGCAACTGATCATCATCCACATGAAAATGAGGAAGATCAAGCTAAGGAGGATCAAGAGCATGAATGAAAGGACACTGCCACTGCAAAAAGGACATTTGGAGTTCAACAAGATGTTCAAATGCAGACTCCAACTAGCAAGAATCCTGAAGCAAAAGGAAAAACAACTACTAAGAAGAAGACGAGAACACTAGTAAAAAATATATGAAAGAGAGATTATCATAAACTAAATGTCAATCCAGACTATGATTATATCCTTATCCAGAAAAAACAAAAGAAGGCCAAATACATCTATGCTGTGAGTGACAGTGAAAGCCCTTCAATTGTTCCGCCACAAAGCCAACCGTTGGAACCAATAATTAAGAAAGCAAAAGAGCAACCACAGGTTCAATCACCCTTGAATCCAATTGCTAAAGAAACCTACAAAGAAGACTACAAAGAACCCTCCAAAGAAGCCAAAGCAAACAAAGGAAAAGCTTGACAAACGGTATTCGTCTACTTGCATCAACAGGGCGTACAAGTTACTTGAAGATGGGATAAAAGAAAAATTCAAGTAATAATACAAACAAGAGAAAATGTAAGTTTACATTATTAATCATAACTTAATACATGTGTACACACACACACACACACACATATATATATATATATATATATATAATACCTTTTATTTTCTTACACAAGGACTACTTTTGGATGCAACCAACGCAAGGGTCCATGGCAACTAAGCTTGTTGTCCTAAAAACAGATCTGACATCATTGTTTGTGGATGGGGCAATCGATGCCAACATAATTGATGCTTCATTCTACATAATGGCAGAAAACAAATAAAAAATAGGGCAACAACAAAATCTGTATCTTCCTTCCTTTATCTTTGTAAGTGCCAAACAATTTTGTTTACAAAAATTTTGGTTAGTGCGATTTTATAAATATTTTGTAAATTTAATTAACTTTCATAAATAGTGTTTAGTGTTTTGGTTCAGTTTAAGAATTAGTGTTACTTATTAATTAAGATTGATAAATAAATGTGTATTGTTGGTTCAAAATAACATGGAGATAGAAAAAAGTAAGAGTAATTAGGAGCATAGTAACCAAACATTGAAGACAGTCTTACAAGATAATGTGGATAAAGTTGGAAAGGTCTTCATACTAATCAAGCATTACTTCCACTTTAGCTTGATAGTTTGGGACATTAAAGATGGAAAAATGACACTACAATTCCAAACTACCAAGGATACATGGGAATACAGACTAATACTTTCATCATGACGTGCAAGTGGTAAGAACAAAATCATAACTCAATTACAAACTATATTCTTATGCTGATAAGAAAAATCAAACTTCATAATACAATTTTTTTTTATGTTATTTTTATTTGTTTTGGGAGAGAGACAAAATATAAGCAAGTTACAAAGATTTCAAAGGTGACAGTAACCTTACAATAGAAATTTGAAGATGTTTAACTTGTGCACAACAAAAGGAGGACTTGTAAGTACAAACAACAAGTTGACCTTTATATTTTTCAATCAAATTTATACATTCAAACAAATAAGAAGGATCATGAAAATCATATATACAAACACAAGACTCATACTTGAAATATAGTTTGCAGTTGGCAGTTTGCAAAATAGTATAACTTTACAGTTTGCAAAAATAATGTCATAAGAAGTTTAAGAAATAGTTAATTTTTCACTCTTTACACTTTACAAAACAATATTACAAATCAACAAATAGTTCATTTTTCCAGTAATTATATACCATCTAACTACAAATATATGAAAATGAGACACGGAAAACAGAAAACAAAATCATTCTAGGAAAATATAGTATAAGTTTAGGCTTTGCATAATAGTGTCATAATATAGTTTCAGAAATAGCTCCAGTTTGCAAAACAGTGTTACAAAAAATGTCATAACCAGTTTGCAATTTGCAAAATAGTATAACTTTACAATTTGCAAAATAATGTCATAAGAAGTTTAAAAAAGAGTTAATTTTTCACTCTTTACACTTTACGAAACAATATTACAAATCAACAAATAGTTCATTTTTTCAGTAATTATATGTCATCTAACTACAAATATGGAAATGAGACACAGAAAACAGAAAATAAAATCATTCTAGGAAAATATAGTATAAATTTAGACTTTGAAAAATATTGTTATAATATAGTTTTAGAAATAGTTCCAGTTTGCAAAATAGTGTTATAAACAATGTCATAACCAGCTTGCAGTTTGCAAAATAATGTCATAAGAAGGTTTAGAAATAGTTAATTTTTCACTCTTTACAATTTACAAAACAGTATTACAAATCAACAAATATTTCATTTTTTTCAATAATTGTATGGCATCTAACTACAAATATATGGAAATAAGACACAGAAAATAGAAAACAAAATCATTTTAGGAAAATATAGTATAAATTTATACTTTGCAAAATAGTATCATAATATACTTTAAGAAATAGTTCTAGTTTGCAAAACAGTGTTACAAATAAGAAATAGTTCTATTTTTTTCAATACTTATCTATGATCTAATTAAATTATATGCAAAATAAAACACAAAAAGAGCAAAAAACAAATTCATTATGGGAAAAATATGGTATTAATTTACAATATGTAAAAGTGTCATGATCCAGTTTCAGAAATAATTTCATTTTTCACTTTTATATGTCATCGAATGTTATAATATGATCTTATTATTTGTCATACTTATTTGTTTTTCCCAAAAAAAAAAAAAAAAAAAGCAGATTGGATTATGACATATTTGTCATTCAATTTGCAAACCAAATGTAAGAGGGCAAACCAATAGAAGCCACCTTTGAAAAGGAAGAAGTATTTGCCAAAAGAGCTCAAATTGCAACTATACTTGTGAGTCATGAGAATAGTTATGCAAATGGACTGAAGAAGATACTTGAACACAGAAGACGACAAAATAAACATGGTCAATATGATGACATTCCTGATGAGGATTTTATTACATTAGCTTGAGTTTTACAAATTACATTTTATATCAATATACAAATTACTTTATGACATCTACAAAAATTCCATTACATTTTATATTATCAATTTCAAATTATATATTCTACTCCAAAAGATTGCAAAAAATCAATTACTATCACTTTTTGAATATAAATTTATTTCATCTATTATACAACACAATCAAATTAAATAAATACAACTACCATACAAAAAAATTAATCTATTTAAAAAACAACCACATTTTATTATCCAAAGAATATGGTTACCAATTTAGATAAATTTATGCAAAACAAAAAACTAGATAACTTAAACTGTTTCTGGAATATATGTACACACTATATTTGAAAAATGAAAATAATAGCTATTTATTATTGTTTTTTTTTTCAGTGCCAGATCAACACCCAAATTCCTCATCCTTCACGCATAATTAACCCCCAACAAAAATCATTATTTCACTCTTATACTAACTTCACATTCTCTCCCTAACACCAACTTCCATTTTCACGCACAAATAAGTCATTCACGATGAAGAAAGTGCATGCACTATAAACAGAAATCCAACCCCCAACACAAATCATGCATCCTCATTTTTTGATTTCGTACATCATTCTAGTTCTTTCACGGACGAATTCATGCAAATTTCAACTTCGGTGAGCAACTTGGTCGTAGAAATACCCATAAAATAAACAAAGGTAACAATCTTACAATTTTTCTCAACATGTTTCACAAAATGATACGGTTCATTATTTATATAACTAATATCTACTGGAATCAAGCATGTACAATAACATGCATCAACTTAAACAAAACACAGATTATACTATTTTCATAAATTTGTTTTGTTATTTACTCTCAGTACGAATCCATCACAGATTCACCCAAAAAAAGACTATTTACTAGCCAATTATTTAATATATAAACATACATTATGCTATTACACGAACTAGTGTGATTCTCTGTTTGTAATTTGTACACTGCAGTAAAATAGTTCACGATTTTTAAGTTTAATAAACAGTGTTTATGAAATAGTTTACAATTTGCTTCATTTGTAAATAAAATGAAATGTACGGAAATAGTATAATCTGGGATGCATTCACGAACTAGTATAAACATATATTATGTTATTACACAAACTAGTATGATTCTCTATTCATAATTTATACATTCAACAAAATAGTTTGTGTTTTTTAAAGTTTAATAAACAGTGTTTACAAAATAGTTTACAAATTGCTTCATTTATAAATAGAATTGCAAAATTTTCAAATCTTACACATAATCCACCTCCTATTGTACATTTTTATTTCTAATTTGTTTAGTTATATGAATCGTATAAAGATTTATGCAGTTATAAAAATGTTTTGTATTTCCATAAATAGTAATTCACTTTGGTATGCTTCAGATATAGTGTGTACTCATATTGATTTTTATTTGTTTACAATCAAGTTGCATTCTAATAAAAACTATATGGTTTTAGTTAGAATAATTGTACAAATGTCAAACTCAACCAAAGCCAATGTCAAAATGATATCGAAAACAACAAAGAAGATGCAACAAAGGAAAATGCTTTGAGAAATAGAAAACACTAGAAAGTGTGACCCGCGCGTTGCTGCGGGAAGTGTCACCTGCGTGTTGCTGCGGTATTGAAAATTTTGTGACAAATTATGATTAAAAAATGTAAAAGATAATGCATCCAATGATTGTGGACCTAATGTCATCAAACCAAAGTAAACTTTCATTTAACCAAGTTCTTAGCACTTCAGTTAAATCTCAAGTTTTAAAAAGTAGTTCAATTTGACTAAAATTATACAGAGTGAGGGAAAAAGACAAAACAAATAGTTGCGGAAAGGTGTACATTGACACTAATCCTGTAAGTCAAATATGAAAAATGTTAAGAATGTAGAAGCTTAAATTATCCCTAGCATCAGTAGATTAACAATGAAGAAACAAAATCCATATGTTTATATTGATTGTTGCTTGACAATTCAGCATGGGAAAAAATGCAAGAAAGAAATATTGTTAAATATCATGTGAATAAATGAATAACAGTCAACATTACATATAGTATAACATGAATATGCATGTGCATAGTAAACACTACGCAATAATATGCATAGGCAAACACTAACTATCAATTAACCATTTTCATTAACACTTTAAAAAAGTTGTTTAAGTATAAAAAGATCTAATACAAAGAATAGAACACTGAATATTATAAAAAATAAATCCATATAATATATAGACACAAAGATTATGAAAATATATATCATTTGACAATACAAAATCAAGCATCCCAAATAGTGTTTTTGACCCAAAAAATAAAGATCCTAGATAGTTTATTACATAAAACAGAAACGTTAGATCATATGCATTGAAACAATTAACAAATTTTCAATGAGCAATACTAAGTATTTATTACTTAAGATCATTAAGTAATGATTGCTCACCTTTTCATCAACCAGTATACGTGCAGACCTGTATATTTATCAGTTGTCATCAGAACAGGCAGACTTTAATTTTTACTGCCTTTTTATATGGTTATCAGTTCTGATCCAAGTAAACTAAAAAAACCAATTATAATTAAAGATTTATTAGTTATAGCTAAATCAAACAATGGTTGTATCTCAAGAAGTGAAAGATAATTAGTTGTGTCTAGTTTTGTGTCAACACTTCATATTACAACCAATTTAACTATTACAACAATATAGTGACACACTTAACATAAAATTCTGCCAACCATATAACAATAGTAAATCAAGTAATTTGCAAAAATTAGAAATGTATCATAAAAAGTAAATATCTTATCTCATACGTGTTAAAATGATTAACAAATTCTTAGTCAGTCGTATCTTATTAAGACTCGTGGCTGAGAAAATAAGAAGGGAGAAAGAGAGAAATGAAACATTACCATCTAGTCTCTTTAACTGTGTAAAACGTAGAATTCACATAGTCAACGGCCATACTTGAAACAAATGAATAAAAAATTAATAAAACTTCATCAGAGATTCAGAGTAATAGTTAAAAATTTGGAAGACCCAAATAAAAATCATTTAGCTATAAACAGTAAGCAAAAACGTGAAGAAAAAAAAATAGAGATGCACTAAGACCATAATTCATGACTGTTATCCAAAATCTCCAAAGTAAACATACAATCAAATAGATTCCTTTCTATTTTTCATCTCTCTCCCTATTATTTAGTATTGTGATAAGGTTATGATAAGCAATTATTTTTCCAAAATTTAGTAATAATAAACATCACAGTATAAGTTTAACATGAGAGAGAGTCAATCTCTACCTTTGATATGTTGATCCTACCATTCCCCTGCATACTTGATCCTTTTTAAGTCCACCTATTGGCAAAAAAATAAAGACAAAACTTGTAACACCATTTAAACAAAAAGAGATTTCTCAATCAGAGAAAGCTTCAATTTCAATTAATTTATTTTGTTATCAATGCAATATTGGAACTTGCATTTGGTTCAAAAAAGTAATGTAAATTGATCAAGCAAAAGAAACTAAAAATAGAATCTATACCAATTGGTTTAAAAGCATTAATCAGTATGACAATGAAAATTTCATACTGAAATCTCACCTTGTGGCATAACCTTATATGTGTTCATTTCCTATTTTTCATCAGACGCATTCTCATTCTCTAGTTGTTGAGTTTAATTTTTCTTTCGACTCCCTATGTAGATGGGCTCAACCTCCTTTTGTTTTTCCTAGAAATTTTTCACTGAAATACAAACCTGTATAAGCGTTTGAAAACCTGAATTGGTTATGGATATTAACAAACTGTAGAGAACTTGTTACATAATATACATACCTGCAGCATTAGAACAGATGAGAAACGGTGGGTATCATCAATAGTACTTGTCATCAACATCAACTTATCATCCAAAGCCGCATTTAAATTCTTTTATTCTTCATCATCTATGATATATATGAATAATAGATCTCAAAAGAATGATTAAAAAAACAAACAAAGTATGGTCGAAATTGCTTTATAATTTCGTATCAATATGGCATGAAAACTTGGTTGATTCATTTGTGAACTAAATTAAAAACAAACTTAAACGTTAATTTAGTGATGAGAGGTTGATTATTCAGTGATAAACTACATATGCACGCCACTGTCTACTTAAGGTGAGCAATTTGAAGATTCTATACCTCAAGCATCTGGAACCCTACATACAAAAGCGGCAAAAACGATGGCCACTGCTTCTTGAAAATAAAAAAATCAAATCATATACCCGCGCTAAAAATCCATATACAACACAACCCCAAAATTAATTATCACCAATTTTCTGTACCAAAATTAATTATCACCAAATTTTTTTTTACAGAAAATAGATCCGCAAACTAAACACGACCCAAAAAAATTTTAAATTTTGTTCAACAAAAGATATAAGAGCAGGAACATAAATTATATACCTTAATCAGAAGGGGCCTGCAAACTTCTATACAAAAACCATAAAATTCGAACGGTAACGTTTCCTGAAATAAAAAACAACCAAATCATACACCCACACTAAAAATCCAAACTCATAAACCATGAACACTTCTCCCTGAAAATAAAAAAACAACCAAATCACAACCCATACTAAAATCCCAAACAGACAAAGGAAACCCCAATAATTAATCATCCCACCAAAAACGAAACAGGACCCAAAAAAAATTAAAAATTCTGTTGGAAAAAGATTTAAGAACAAAAACATAAATTATATACCTCACCCAGAAAGGGCTTGCAAGCCTGTACAATAAAACCTTAAAATTCGAAGACCAATGTTTCCTGCAACAAAAAATGAAATCAGATCAAACATCCACACACAAAGTACGAAAAAAATTAAGAAAACGCTTAGCACAAAACGGCAAGACTTGAATTTTACACTAATCAATTAAAAAAAAAAATTTCTTGCTAACCAAACAGAAAATAAGATGCGGATGAAGCAACACACCTAAAATGGCGCGATTGGTTTCTGGAAAACAGCCAAAAAAAATCCAAAAATGCCTTTCTAGACGACGGAATCGAAATCGAAACGGAGAGACAGACGAAGAGATAGAGAGAGGAAATGAAAAGGAAAAGAGACGGAACAAAATGGAAGACATTTCACCACCAAATTTCAACAAAGAAGTAACAAAGCACAAAAAAAAAAAAAAAAAAAAATCAAATATTTGGCTTCTGGGTAGTTGAGAAGAAGTGAGATTTAATTACCTGTCAAAGGCTAAATTGGGAGCACGATGGCGCGTCGAAGAGATTGAACAGATGAGGAAGCAAAGATCGGACAGATCTCACGAAGCGGAATCGAAATTGCTAATCGGTTGAAGAGCACAGTTTTTTCCTTTTTGGATTTCTGCGATTTCTGAGGAAGAAGTCGAGACACTTCTATTGGATACCAGGGTTAAAATACACCAGAAGAGTATGGAAGAGTAAAAACAAAAAGAAGGGAGCACGATGACCAACACGTGTGAAACATGGCACAAATGCAATTAAACTAATCAAGCAGGGGCAAAAAAGGAAGCACACTGCTCTAGAACAGTGCCACCCGAGTTTGGGTTTTAGTATATATAAATATCACATACGAAGAATGAGACAATTCATCTACAAATTAACACCACTATTGAAGAAGTTGGAGAAACAATGCAAAGTGCAAAAAAAAAAAAAAAAAAAAAAAAAAACCCAAACAAACAAACATTACAAAGGCAGAGGAAGAGGGAGACATAACCTAAAGAACAGAACAATTGTGAATCAAAGAGGTAGAAGAAAAGATGTCGGACACTACAACCACCAATAGCAATTAAAAGAAAGAAAAAGAAAATGTCAAACCAGTTTTAGAATCAAGGAAGCAACAAATTGAAGAAGGAATGGTGCAAAAAGAGGAAATATAACAAACAAATAAGCATGGTGACATAATTGAAAAATTGTTGCACAAAATTGTTTCACCAATGGCAAAAGAAAGAGAGCAAGAAACAAATATTGAAGCTCTAAAAAGCAACGATGCTCACAACAAGAATGATCTGCAAGTCAAAAAGTAAACAGTCAGTCAAAAAGCAACAAAGCCAACGACAAAAAACAAAAAGAAAGTCTTTGGCGAAACTCCATCATTCAACCTGGATTTAAAAGATGAGCCTTCTTCACAACCGGATGACCTTCCAGCAATAAATCACATAGACATCATCGTGAATTGGACACAACTTTAAGTGTACAAGATGATAAAATCAGATGATAGAAGAAGAATAACTCAATTCTGATTAACAAACAGTATGTAAGTAATACAAAAAAAAAAAAACTTTTAACTGAAGTTTTTTTACACACTCTCATAACTTTATAAGCACTAACGAATTCTTGTATAATTAAAACTTTTGCTTTGTCCTGCAACAATGAATACTAGACAGCTGAAACTACATATTTCAACTATTACAGAATAATGGTATTGAAAGAAGACCTGCACAGTTTAATGGCAAATGGACCTACATCAACTCAGATTGTTGATTCTTTCTGCTACCTAAAAAGAGAACAAGAGAACATTACGAAACAAATGAACTTCTATGTCTCCAACAATTTCTGTGAGTAAACAAAACAACTAATATTCTGCAAAATAATATTTACATATACATATAAAAATTAAAACAATTAATCTATAATTATGATTTTAGATGATTTTCCTTTTCAAAAGAATAACATCAATGAACAAAGCATTGAAACAACTGTGTGAAACAGGGAAAGGCTTTACAACCAATTGATGGACCAATATGGAAAAGTATCAAAAAATTTCTTCCCATTGTTTCATTACAACCATATCTCCTTGGTAGTTTTGGACACAAAAAATGCAAAAATGATTCATTACAATTCTCTTCGACAGAGCACAACAGAAGAAGATGTGAACTTTGATTGCTACTGGGAAAATGCATCAATAGTGGTAAGCAAAAACGCACAACCAAAAACTCATATTTATAGAAAACAAACATCTTATTATTACATTATAAATTTTTGCAGGGCCACTTTGTTCAATATTGGCTTGATAAAGCAAGAAAATTAACAAGCAATTCAAATGTTATGGATTCAACTCAAGCCATAATGAAGAAAATCAATTCCATCAAAATTGACTTTGAATTCTAAGTCAAAGAATATAGAACATGTGCACAACAGAAACCAACATCGTACGTTATAAAGTGAAAAGCATTTTAGTTATATATATAGTTTGTGTTTACTACATTTCAAAAACAATATGAATAATTTGATGCAGTTATACAAATAGTTTGTTTTTTAAATAACTACTCTATACCACACACTTCGCCCTAGTTTGGTATTAAGGTGATTCTGAAAAAAGTGGTTATAAAAAAAAGCTGGAAACTTTTTTATGTTTGGTAAACATTCAGTTTCAGTTTTTTTTTTTCACAATTTTGGATGAAAAAAAGCCAAAAACACAAAGTTGCAAAACCCAGCTTTGAAAAACCAGTTTTTTTTTTTTTTTTTCACATCTGTTTTACATAAAAGTTTATCAAATACTATAATACTGTTTTTTTTTTTTTTTCAAAAACACTTTTACAAAAAGTTTACCAAACACTTTGCTGTTTTATTTCACAGCTGCTTATTCTCACAGCACAGTAGAAACAATTTTTTTTCAAAGCACATCAATACCAAACTAGCCCTTCATTTCATTTTAATACTCATAATCATTGACTTGAATTTCTTTGTAAATCAAATTAGATTGCGGCTTATACATGATGAGCTTCATTGACCAACTCTCAACTAACTGGAAGGTTCAAAGACGTATCAAAGATTACCAAGTCATAAAAGTAAGGAAAGATATCCTCGTGAATTTGATAAACCATGATTTTAGTTGGACAAAGGAACAAAAAGCATATATCAAATCTCACAACAATTGACAAGCTCAAAAACAGATCCATGATTGCTTGAACAGACATATTCAACATACTAAGGCAAGAACTTGTAAACATCAATATCATCACCATTTAACTCAAAAACTGTCATCTATTTGCCAAAGTATGCAGTAGTATAATCAATATCTAATCCATAAAACTGTTTTAAGTTTAAAATGATCTCCTTTGGTTTAATAAGAGGATTTGACTGAACCTTATCCTTGATGAAAAAAGCAACAAATTGTCGTGCAACAACTTTGTTTTTCTTCTTCCGAATCATACCCTTGCATGTATTCACATTATGCAACTTCCGAATAACAAAAAAGTCATTAATACCACACTTGATACATACACACGCCAAAGACAACCATTAGATTCATTTCAATAACACTTTGAATTAATGAAATTCTTATCATTCTTCAAATACTTCAAATCAAAACCACATTCAACAGAAAACTTCTTCAACTTATCTAGGAAATCAACACAGCCTCTCCTAAAAACTTGCCCCTCAGTTTCTATGTAACTATCTCATTCACATGACATATAATTGTACACACCATGAGAACCATACTTCCCTAAATAATCATTTTCATTAGCAACAATTATAGAGTCTAATGTACGGCAAGAAGAAGATATGTTTTCCGTATGTAACTGAAAGATAGAACCATCACATTTATCCATAACCAACATTTCTACAATAGATTTCCCAACAACATAAAAAAACCATCAACATATTCATAACATCGGTATCACAATCTAACATACAATGAGGATCTTTATTCAAAGCATATCGCAACTCAAAACAACCAACTCTCAAACCCTTAAACCTATAACAAAGATCAATACAAATCTGATTGACGATAGAAGTTGATGAAATAGAAATAACAATGGATAAACCACCATATATAAACTGAGCTAGTTTACCATTCTCCATAACTATTGAACGAAAACAAAAAAACAAAACAATTTAAATCAATACACAATCTTTTATACAATAAACAACAACAATTGTTTATTAATATGTTGCAAAACCAAATTCCAATCTTTGTAAAACAAATCAGTACCTATTAGTTAAACAATATACATATAAAGTGAACAAAAATAATACTATTTATAAAACACAACAATCACAAAAACAAAAAGTAAACTGAAATATCCACTGCTTCATAAAAAAAAAAAATACTATTTCTGAAAAATGTTAAAAAAATCAAATGTGATGAACACAAATTAATTCATAATAAATTTTTAAAAAATGAAAACAAAACCAAGATGAACAATATAGAATACAAACAAAACAAAAAATAAAAGACAAAACAATTCAAAACTTACTTGAGATTCTTCGAAATAAGAAACTGCTAACTGAAAATTTCAAAAACCGGAATCAATCTGCTAATCTGAAAACAAATCAACAACAATATATAAGTCAAATAAAAAGCTAAGCATATTACATGCCAAAAAAAAAAAAAAAAAAAAAGACGACAAAATCGAATTCAAAACTGCAAAAACAGTGTCGATTACCTCCAAACAAAAATCTAATCAAATATGAAAGACGATCACTCTAGTGAATATATTCAACCACAACGAACAACACCAATGATAATGATTCAATAGAATCTCAAAATATGCAACCACTGCGAAACTGTTTTGAAACCAAGGTTTGTTTCAGAAGAATCCCTCTAATAGGGATGAAGAACAACGGCGATCACGATTTCTAAATGCGCTCTCAACATTCGTTGGCAAGCATTACTCAAACCACTCAACCAGATTCGAAAAAAATTGAAGAACTCTCTGCAATTGTTCTACAAAAATTAAAATTCAATTAGTTCATAAGGTTTGGCTAACTCCAAACTAACTAATCTAACATAATATTAAGTTAGGTTAACCATATCCGTTAGGGGTAAATTTGACAAATCACCATATTATTTTGTTTGGGCTATTTTATTTGGGCTGATATAAAAGTGGGCTTTGTACTAACCATTAAATAAACTTACAATGTGGTTTTTGGTTAAAAGTTAAAGTTTTCAAGTCATTTTGGTTAGTTTTCCTATAAAAATAAGGTCTGTTAGAAGGCCAAACTAGTTTTATATAAGCAAAAGTTGCACGACTCCAGCCCACCAAGTCTAATGACCAATTGGGATCTTACCCTAGGGTTCGAATGACCACCTCGCTCTAACCCGTTTAAGGGGTCGGACAGGGTTTCCTCCGAGGCTCGTCTGCCACACAGATGACTAGACCCAAGACCCGAGAATATCTCGCCTCTTTAAGTAACGATCTACGTGTCATCTGACATGCTTAAGTCACCATTGTGATTGTGCAAACCCTCACAAGACATAACTGAAAGCCACTTACTAGGAATTATAGTCACTATCAACGGCAAATGACCATTCTATCAGGGCTCCAACTCGGCAATACGATCGAGGTTGCTTATTCTCCACTGCCTATAAATAGAGCCAGAAGCTTTTTAGCTCAAGACCTTCGTCAAATTCAATTTGTATGATTATTAAAATCTTGAATGATTCTTCAATCAACACAACTGTTTTTTAGCAAAAACCTAATTGCTCTTTAGCAAGCTTCTTCACTCTTCAGCTACAATCTTAAAGCCTTCATTTGCAACAAACACATCCTAAGATACCTGAGATTAAAACTTTTACAGCTTTGTCACCCTGTGGTTGATTCGGTTGATATTTCCAACCACCCTGATTCCCTATCAAAGGTGCATGTTATGTACAAAGTCCAATCTAATACCAGTAATCTCGATGGACTCCTCTAACATTATCTTGTCCTTCAGGGCCTAAATCTTGCTAGAGTTTTCAATGTTTTCTTTACATTTCCAGTCAATTTACATTTCAAGTCATGTAGTTCGGCCAATCGGTCCAAAATTTACTTTTGAAAACATTTGTAATATTGACTTCATCATGAAATGATTACATTCTGTTTTCAGCTTTAGTTTTTATTTCACTTTCATTTACTTTTTAGGCAGGCATTCATGAAGTTACACTGAATTTTAAGTCATGGTTCTCTCAAGGCACATAAAAGAACTTAACCAAACCAGCATCACGCTCGATCCACAATCATTTAGTTAAGAAGTTAGATTTACGTGCTACTCTCACACATATTCGAACACGAACATTGTCAGTTGGTAGCGTCCAACAGTGGCACACCTATTCTCTCTTTTTCTCGGGTCATCTTGTGGCATAGAGACCGAAAGCAACTCTCATAAAAAATACATGTTGAATCCAGTCTAGACTTTATCTGATTTTTTACACCAACAATATTCTTGATTTTAATGTATGTGCGTTTACGAATGATATTCGCTTTCTATTTGCCCTCCTTACCTTCCCTACTTGTTTATGTTCCTTAATTCACCATAAATTTATTCAATTATATAATTTTTTTTAACGACATGATTTCTTGTACTTAAAAGGTGCTTAACGCCAATGATGATATAAAAATACAAAAATTTATGTACAATCATGCCATAAGATGAGTATTGACTCACTGTATAATCGCAATCAACAACCTTGTTTTGGGTGAGAAATGTCCACATATCCTGGTGAAAGCTCATGTGGAAACTTTTGGTTATTGGACTTTTATGACTCCAGTCCTCTAAGCGAAAACAAACCTACGTCAAATTCGTTCCCCGTTATCGTAATGTTAAATGATTAACATGCGTTCTAAGGCACCACGTAGCTGTGAAATCATTCCATGTCGTTTCCCTAGCCCCTACATTCAAAATAAAGGATGTTATTAAAGTGTTCCCATGACTTTATCGGCTGCTGACAATGAAGGGTTACTGAATTTTCAGCACCTTTTGATACGGGATAGAAGAACATTGCATATGGCAATCAAATCCCCACCTTTTGGTTAATCACTTCTAGAAATTACCTGCATCCAAACTACTAACTGCCTTGAACATTTAGGCGGATCTAATTGTTCAGAAAATGTTCGTATTACAATTTTTTTTATAACTTTTTTAATACACATGATATCTACGCTATGTGTTAGGAAAGTATGTTAAATCTCACAATGAGTTAGTCATAATAGTTTGGTTCGGTAAGTATTGGGAGAGGATTGAACCTAAGATCTCTTATAAGTAAAGAGAACTACCACTAGACCGTACTACTAAGTGACAGATTTTCTGTAACTTTATACCATACCATTCATGATGCTTGATGCCATCTAGTTTGGTGTAAATATTACTAATTTGGGTTATCATGCCCTACCCATGTTTGGATATAACAAATTTTCCATGGAGCAGTCAAATCATATTGATAAACTTGTTTGTTGCCCACCATAGGTGTTAGGTGCTCTACGACTGCTGGAGTCACGTTTGAGCTATGTGTGGCTGCGTCTTGTGATTCTCTTCTCCTGCTTGCTCGTCTGTTTGTACGTTTGATTCCTGGTCTTTGTTTTTTTTTTTTGGCTTTTGCTCTGGTATTGGATTTCCAATTTAACAAAAAAAGAGAAAAAAAAAATGTTGTTGCCTTAGCTACTACGTCATTCCAATGTTTTTTTTTTCCTTTTTTCTAATACCAGCATTGATTAACACTAGTTTATCAAAAATACTACAAGGAAGGTGGGAGGAGACTCAAAATTTGGTGCAAATCGAGGAGAGTATATTATTCTAGTCAATTTGACCTAATTCAAGTTTATAAGTTTGTACATGCATGCACGAAAAATTTGATTGTTACATTGTGGTAAATCATAACCTCATTCCCATTTTTGCAATAATCCAAATCTCCTATATTTTTTTGTGTATTCTAAAGCTACAAAATTAAAACAAATTAACCTAGTCCCAACACTTTGTTTGTGAAGCAGTACTTTTTTTTGGAAATATATGGGACAAAAAGAAGTTGGAGAGAAATGTGAAACGAAGGGAGTGAGAGAGAAAACGTGGTAGTGTAGATAGTTTTACATATTTTTTTTAACAAACAATATTATTTACATCAAGGGGTAGAGAAGTGAGTTAAACCTCATAATGGGTAAGCCATAATAATCTGGTTCAAATTCGTCTTTGACGATAATCGAATTTAAGTTCTCTCACATACAAGTGAAGAGAAACACCACTAGACCGTAGTACTAAGTGGCTTATATTTTTATTTTTTATAGTTAACGATATACTATGACGACGTGTGGCTGAGGGAAGGAACAAAAGTAAAATTTGGTTTGTGCAAAATTACATTACTATCCATGTTTTTTTTGTGATATAAGATCAAATTGTCTTTTCACTCTCTTTTGGTTGACAAGAGGATTTTGTTAATAAGTAGTTTATATTTTACTTAATTTTGACAAAACCAAGTAAAAAAGGAGCAACTTAAATGGAACGGGTTCATCATCACCTAACATCCACAAAGCAAATGCATTATTGCCCAATGGAAGTCATGTGTTGGTGAATATAATCTATGTAATTCATTCTCAAACAAAAGATAACAAAAATTCTACTCTTATCATAATTTTCATAACACATTTGTATCACCTCTTTAATATAAATGAGCTCACATGTAAATTCTACCCTTAGTAAACAAGTAATATAAATGTGATAAGTGTAGCATTACTTAAAAAATAAATAAAAATACATGCAACCAATGCTTTTCCTTTAAAAAAAATAATAAAAAATTAAAATAATAAAAAAAAGGAAAGAAATTTCAAATCACATGGTATTCTTATTTTTATTTTTAAATGTCACTTAGTACTAAAGTCTAATTATCCGATCCGGTTGATCAAATTCGGTTTTCATCTGGAAGTGCGCGTAGCGTTGATATCACATTTGCAAATTCCAGGTAGACGAACCCAAAACCAAAGCCCGTTTCGCAGATAAGCAACTTGTGGCATCCATCCAACACGAAATACTCCCAAAACCCAATTTTGTTTTGATTCAAAACTCCTTCGGATATTCAATCAAATTACTCCCATTCGACCTTCAACTCCATAGCCACCTCCCTCCGCCAAGATTTCCATTGCTTTGAAGACTGGTATTTTCTTGTGAGATTTCTTGATTGCTAAGCAAAGACTGCAAATTTCGTTCGATATCTGCAAACCCTTTTGGTAAATTTGGTTAAAGAGGTCGACTTTCTGGGATTTGAGAGCACTCATTTGGTTGGTTTTTCAGAAAATCGTCAAATTTTGTTGAATCTGTGAAACCTCATTTGCTTATTTGATGAATTTGTGCTGGGTTTTTGTGTTTTGTTTGCAGAGGGGAGATGGAGATTGACAAGGCAATCAAAGAGTGTGATGATCGAAGGCTTAAGACCAAGTACAACAGCGCTATCTATGTTATTCAGAGAGCTCTTGCGCTCTACTCGTAAGTTCTTCTTTGTTTGCTTTCTTCTGAGTTTTGTAGATTTTAAGAAATATGTAGGACTTTCGAAGTGAACCAAGCAGTTATATAAGTTGGCCCAGTATTTATGAAACTTATAAGAACCATTTTTTGTTGTTATTTTTACTACATTTTCCCAGAAATTAAATGGGTTGAGCTAAAAACTCTGTATTGATTACATTGTAACGATATTTCTGCTCCTTTTCGTGTTCTCCCCGCGCACCTTTCATTTTGAACTCAATGCAGTTGCTAGACTATTGTTTCTAAATTTTTAAAATGTTGAGCTTTGTATTGTGTAATGCTATTTCTGTTAGGAGAAAACAAACAAGTTGGTTAGTTGATTCCTGATACAGTTTTGATTTGTAAAAGGTAGAGGCAACTACTTGGATATTGATGTGCGGAAGTATCTAGTAAAATACTCATTCGAATCTATGTGAATTCCAAGTAAATGTTACTCTGCTTTTCCTTGTCGGTTGTTGCCTGGTTTGTCGCTATCCGTTTAAGATCCTTTATGAGTATACACCACGTGTTGCTGGTGATTTGGGCACTATGAATCAGACTAGGCTTGCATATTTCTTTGTGAAAGTTTGAATGTCTGGCAACCTTATCTGGAAAATATCTCATATCAAATGGTTACAATTTTTCAACCATTATTAGGAGATTAATGACATGAAAATCACTAACTAATGTATACATTTGAATCAAACAGCACTGGAAAATAATAAAATAAATCAATGCACTTGAGGTGCTCATGCTATCCATTTACCTTGGAGCGAAATTCACACATGAACTCCACTTTTGAAACATTTGAGATTTGAACTCTCACTCCCTAAATTGTTTTAATCAACAGTATTGAAGAGGTTGCCTTCAGCTTTAATGGGGGAAAGGATTCAACTGTAAGTTAACAAGTGATTTTACTGGTTATCTATTTAACTCAGCTGCCTTCTGTGTCATTGATAGTATTAATAACTTGGTTCTGTAGGTTTTGTTGCACCTACTCAGGGCTGGCTGCTCTTTGCATAAAGGGGAGCAAAGCTGTTCTAATGGGGGTGTAAAATATTTTCCAATGCGAACGATATATTTCGAGTGCCCATCTGCTTTCCCTGAAATCAACTCGTTTACTTATGATACAGCCACTACGTGAGAGATGCTCCCCCTTTTACTCTTTTGTTTTTTAATTGTCTTAAAATGTCATTGTATGATCAGAAGTTTCTAGTTTTCGCATAAATTTAAATGCTGGAGGATGTAGCCTTCTAGTAACATATTCTTTTTTAAGCAGCTATGGTTTGCAACTGGATATCATTCGCTCTGATTTCAAGTCTGGTTTGGAGGATTTACTAAAATCCAAACCAATCAAAGCTATTTTCCTTGGTGTCCGAATCGGTGATCCTACTGCGGTAATTGATTTTCTGTTTCGGCAAAGATACAATCATATTGTACACATATTGTCAGATTATTCTGCAGATATTTGTAGCAAAAATGCCTTAACTTTTCTGACTTGCAGGTTGGTCAAGAACAATTCTCTCCCAGTTCTGTTGGATGGCCACCTTTCATGAGGGTGAATCCTATATTGGATTGGTCATACAGGTATGTTTGTACCTTTTCCTCTCTCATCTATTTTCTTTCTTTTCGGCATATGGAAAGGCTGTTAGAGAGCAAGTTGTCTTTATAGTGCTTTTCTCGTTGAAAGATAGAAAAATGAGTTTTCTATATACAAAATTTCCACTTATTGAACAAACAAATCCCTGGATAAGCCAAAAGAAAATAATTCTAGTACTAGGTATCAGGTAGCTAAGAGTTTAATGCAACATGAGAATGTCATATGATCTGAATTTTATGCTTTTGTATGACCTTAAAAAGTGTGACTTAGAAGTGTGTTTGATCTAAATTCTAAAGTGATCTAAATTCTAAGCTACAGAATTTAGTTACCGTTACATTAAACCATTAGGAGGCTTCCTCTTTATCCAAATTCAAAACTCTAGTACATTCTGGGGTTTGACTTCCATGCACTTCATTGCAGAGATGTGTGGGCCTTTCTCTTAACTTGCCAAGTGCAGTACTGCAGTCTTTATGATCAAGGGTATGTGGCTTGAACTGTTGCTTTGATGCTTGGCTTTTTTCAACGCTCGCCATAATTTTTGAGTTGGTTCCTGATGCATATGTCGTAACATTTCAATTGATTGCACTGTTTTGTTATACTAGTTTAGTTATATTCGACTAATTAACTTATGTTATTTCATTCTCACAGTTATACTTCAATTGGAAGCATATATGACACAGTTCCAAATGCATTATTGAGCATTAACAATTCATCTGACAACAAAGAAGTATTTAGACCTGCGTATTTACTTTCTGATGGAAGATTAGAGAGAGCCGGAAGGGCTAAAAAACTTTCTTCTTCAGTTCGTGGGCATCAGTCTGCTGTTATGAATGGCCTTGATGGTGTGGGCTTACATGGGAGTAGCCTACTCATGTCCTCAGCCATTGCTGTGGGTGATGAGATTCTGTAAGTCCTTCGTCAGTATTAGATTCTTTTATTGCAATCAATGACCATAATAATATGGTTGCGCCACAGATCCTGTATTTCATTGGTTGCGCCGTGATATCAATGATCAGTGATTACTTTTTTAAATTTCAGGCGTTTTGTTGGATTTTCAGTAGAAACCATTTTGTTCAACTATTCTCTTTTGTGTTCTGTAGCCTTTCATTATCTCACAGTTTAAGGCTGAAGCATCTCTAAATTTCTCATAGTTGTGGTTAGACCCAACGAAATTGAATTTAGTCCTTCGAGTTAACTTTATTAGTCATCATGTCCATGTTCATGATCATTGTTTTTCTTACATTTTTAATTATAACTTATGCAAAGGAACATATAAACAGTCACTAGTGTCAGAAGACTGACATAGTATTTACTTCAAAACATTAAGGAAAGAAAAGATTCATGGTTTAAATGTTGTAGTAACTTGTGTAACCATTTTTTCCTCAACCCAATGTTATTACTGAAGTTTATTCGTTTCTTTTTATCTGTTTGATAGCTCAGGTTTGGCACTGTTGAGGATCAAATAGGGCCTTCATTGTGTAGAAAGCTCCATTCTATTGGCTGGTCGGTATCACAAACTGCTGTTGTTCGGAATGATGTGAGTTACTATTGCAAAGTTTTTTATTTTTTATAAAAACATAGTTGGCCTAGTTTCAGTTACCTATATATCTAATTATGTAACTGCAGTGATGATGCAGTTACATGTGGAACCTGAAACATTTACTCGCATCACCTTACATTTTCATTTTCCATGACATTCTCTCGGTAACAGATAGATGCTGTCGCCGAAGAAGTCGAGCGACGACAATCAACTGATGATATGGTAAATCATTACAACCTGTTTGATAGTTCTTAGGGGTTTTATTAGTTATGAAATGGATGAGAGATTTTTCCTTTTTTTGTTCTAGTCTCTAGTCAATGTTTTTCGAAACTACTATGTAGGTATTTATGTATGGAGGGGTTGGTCCACTGCACTCAGATGTCACTTTGGCAGGTGTTGCAAAGGCTTTTGCTGTTCGTCTGGTATGTTTGTTTTGGCTGAACTTTCTAAAGCACAAAAGAGTGATATGTTATTGAATCTGTTAGTATTTCATTCTTGGAAAATGGAAATCTGTATTAATCCTTCAACCATCGACTTGTAAAATGGAATCCATGAGAATATCATTGAGATGTCCGAATTTATGCAATTATTTTAGTTTTTCTCTAAGCCCCTAGCAATATTGAGGTTGGTCAATCTTCATTGTTTAGTCTCCTGATGAAGAATTTGAAGAATATCTAAGGCATCTTATAGGTGATCAATGTACTGGTGACCGGAATGAGGTACTTAGATGTTACAAGTTTTTTATTATTTAATGCAATGTATGATAGCACGATCTCGTTGTGCTTTGTTTCATTTCTGTTGGTTGTTACTTTCTGTGTAATATGTTCCCGTAAATAGTTATTTTACATATCTTACAGTGACAGAGTCCTACAGCATGAATTTGATTTTATTCTTGTTTTTGCTTTCTCAGATGGCTCTGTTGCCTGAAGGTATCACTGAACTATTGCATCATGAAAAGCTGATTGTCCCTTTGGTATGTGTTTGAAAGGTCGCATATGAAGTTTTGCTTTTAGTATATCTGGTCAGCTAGAATTCGTGACATCGTATTGAAGCTTCCACTGGAAAAAATCTGAAGTTTCCTCTTGACTGATTTGTGTGTATATATACATCTGAACAGTAAAGTACGGATTATATATAGAATGATCAAATGATTGACTTTTGCAGATCAAGTGTAAAAATGTAATAATCCTTACTGCAACAAATATCTTGGAGCTGGATGAGCAGTGGAACTGTCTAATTGAACTAATGAGATCCGATAGTGCACTAGCAACGATGCAACCATTTGTATCTAAGCACTTGACAACAAACCTTACAGATGTAAGTAATTCCGCTATTCCATTATATTTTCAATATATTAGGTCTTGAAAATTTGGGTGTGCGCACGCAAGACACACTCAATGTTCTTTTCCAGACAATATCTTTTTATTTACTGGACTGTTAAATGGAAGCACATGTTTAAACAATAAGCAGCGGTGGGCGGGGGTCCACACTGACTGTCTGACAACATTAGCATGCAAGACTTATAAAGTTTTACCACCCCACCTCAACACACAAACATATTGCAATCCCTGCTAATTCGTTAATGTAGCTTCCATTTCAACTTCTGACATCTTATTTTCTTGTATTGAAATAAATTATAGGCATGTAATCATAATCATAATCCTCATTGTGTGAATCACCCTATTTGCATAGTTGGGATGATGATTCTTTTATGCTGTGCTTGGCCTACTTTACCATAAAGGTACATGAGATGAATCATTAGGGGGAATATTGGCTTATTTGGTGCCTAAGATTGGAAAACTCTAAACATTCAAGGTATGTTGAAGTTAAAAAATAAAGTTAGAGGTGAATGATTATTCATTTTGGGGGGACTAGAAGGATAAGCTATTAGGTGTTCGTATCCTACCATTTTGTGGGGTTGGAAAGGGATAGCGTTCCTTCATGACTAATTCGTCTTCAACCTTTAACATGGTCAAAATTTCTTCATCTTCCTTCAACATACCTTGAATCTAGTGAGTTATCAAATCCAATCAAATCCTAGGCACTAGACGAGCTTATAGAACTTATGCCAAGAGCGATAAGTGGTCTGTGTTTTTGCGTATATAGTCCACTTCAGAAGGATACCTATCGATTTCTCTCAATGTTAGTCGTTGAAGTACTGAGTTCTATAATTGAGAAGATCGCATTTTCTTAGAAATTCTGGAATATATAATGTCAAACATTGAGTGCAGTATTAGCATGCGATTAATTGGGAATAAATCGATATATTACTGTTTGCGTGGTAGTCATCTCTTTTTTTTTTTTGGGTGAAAATTGCAGGTCGAAATTGCTCAACCTCTGTCAAAACTTTGCCTTGAATTTCCAGACCTTTTCATTGGTAAGTGCCTTTTGAAATCTTTAGATCTCTAGAACAACATGATATCATATATTAATTCTGATTGTGATCTTCCATGGGAAATATTAAGGGTGTCGTCGCAAATCCAGGACGGAGCCTGTTATAATCTACTTCGAGGGCAAGGTACTAGAACATTTCTTGAGGTTTTAGGTACGGAGTTACATTATATAAGTTGTTTGAATGAATATCATTGAGAAATTTGGTTGCAGGACCAAGACCGAATTCAATCAGCCATAGAGGCATTGTGCAAGAAGTTCCATCCGGGGGCTTTTGTCGAAATCAACTCAAGTTGATTGCAGCGGTTGTTCAAGTGGTCTTCTTTTGCTTCAAAATGCTGAGTTATTCTCCACTTGAACCGGCCTCTCGTATACCAAAATGATGATGGAACAAGCGGAATCCTCTGTATATTTCGATGGAACAAGGAGTTCATTGCAATGGAATTTGGAAGGGGAGCAAGACGAGAAGGAAAACAGAAGAACATTATAGATGCTGGTAACCGGGCAAAGCCCGCTCCTCCCTGTAAATGGAGGAAATGTTAACAGTCATCATCTCATAGTTTACTAAACCATTACAATTCTATTTGAGGTGATCGACCGGACGGTTCTTTTCGATCACTTGTTAGCTTATCTCGATGAATGACATAAATCCAGTGTAAAACTACCGAATTAAGGTAGAGTAATACTTGACATGAATCCAAGAATCGTGTCACTATGTTAGTGTCATTTTATTACATTTCTTAATCTACAAAGAATTTTCGATGTGAAAACATAGGCTGATCTTTGAGTAGGAAAAAGAGTGGATCCGTAGAGTCCAAATGAATTGGCTTATTCGGAAAAAGCCTTATTCATTTAAGGATCTATTTCGTGTTTGGTACTGTATAATTTCACTTTGTAAGAACTCCGAGTCATTCTCTAATGTGAGCATGGTTTATTTTAAGACACATCCCAAATGTGGAGGGTTATAATGTAATTATACTCTAAATATATGGGTGTCTTGTGAAAAAACAATTAGCCAAATCACTGTTCCTCGTCGAAATCATCCCATTTTAACACGACATGGTGTACAATGTCGAATTGTAAAATCCTATTGTGGCCTTCGTGGGTGAGAGAGAGCACAATTGAAAGCTGAGAGAAATGGCGGGAGGAGTCGGCGGCGGAGGCGACGGAGCCACCGGCAGCAAGAAGGGATTAGAAGGCACGGGCTTGGATTTACCAGAGAATCGCCATGGCAACCTAAAGAGTGCTTCCAGCGACCAAAACCTCAAAGACATCCTTGTTCAAATCAAGTCCTGCAAATCCCCTGTATGCACCCAAAATCCCACCTTTCAATATATATATATATATGGCAATTTTCCATTGCAACCCATTAAATGTTGTCTTTTTTCATCTTCTTGCAGGCAGTCATCAATTATGGTGCTTCTTGGTACGTCTCCCACTCGTACTATTTTCAAAACTACTAGCAATTGAATTTTGCACACAAGGTGTTTGATGAATTGCCTCAGTGACTCAATTGCTTCGATTTTGGTATCGTTTTCAGGTGCCGTGTGTGTAGCCAGATCCTTCCTGCATTCTGCCAGCTGAGTAACAGTTTCCCAAAGCTCTCTTTCGTCTATGCAGACATTGATGAATGCCCCGAAACAACACAGCACATTCGCTACACGCCCACCTTCCATTACTACCGGGATGGCGAAAGGGTTGATGAGATGTTTGGTGCTGGAGAAGAGCGGTTGCACGATCGCTTGTGGTTACATTCGTGAAACGAGTCATGTTAGGGATAATTGCTTCAAACTTTTTGCTATGGGTGTAGTCATCCAAGCTATTACATTAGTTGTACAATGAGCTTATGGTTTATGATATCTTTGATGTTCCAGAAGCCCAAAAGATTGGATGCTCTGTCTTTCTACAACGAAATTGGAACTACTGCAGTCTACGATCATACAATTATTCGATTTCAATTGTTTGTAATAAGCTTCTAACCAAGTCCAATGCCAGAATCCTCAACAATCAAGAAGCTGGGTAACGGGAAAAATTTGGAAACATGAAAAATGATAAAACGACAAAAGACAACGCAACAAAATACTACTGGCGCCTAACTTTGCTACTACCTCAACTTAAAAGCACAAATCGCCTATTCTCAACGCTGGTTTGAGCCTCGAAATGTAGACCTCGACATCAGACGTATGAATTGAAAGTTTCTTTATTCGCTAACAAGCTGAACTGCGGCTACGAGCTAGTGTGTCACGCTTTTGGCTTGAGGATCTTGACGGTCTCCCATGTGAAATCTGGATCATCGCGGCCAAAATGACCATAAGCAGCGGTCTTTTGGTACCTGAGGTTGCCCCCTCTTTTCAAATCAAGGTCGATGGCAATCATTCCAGGCCTAAAGTCAAAGTTCTCCTTGATGAGAACCAATATGTCCTTGTCTGGGATTTTTCCAGTTTTGTAGGTATCCACGAAAACCGATAGGGGTTCTGGGACGCCAATAGCATAAGAAACCTGAACAATGCAGCGGCGAGCAAGCCCGGATGCCACAACACTTTTTGCTGCCTGCCTTACAATGTATGCACCACTCCGGTCAACCTTGGTTGGATCCTTTCCAGAGAAAGCACCACCACCATGAGCACCCCAACCACCATAGGTGTCTATGATTATCTTCCGGCCAGTGAGACCCGCATCTCCATGGGGTCCTCCAATGACGAATCTACCTGAAGGGTTCAAGTGGTAGATAATTTTGTCATCAATGAATTGGGCGGGGACGACAGGTTTGATCACATGTTCCTTCAAATCAGCAGCAATCTGCTCGTTTGTGACATTCTCATCATGTTGGGTTGAGATGAGGATGGTGTGCACCCGAATCGGGACCATGGCCCCATTCTCATTCTTGTACTCAACAGTCACTTGGGTCTTACCATCGGGCCTCAACCATGGGACTGTTTTATTCTTTCTGACCTCCGTAAGCTTGGCGCCAATCTTTGTAGCAAGGACATGAGTGAGTGGCATGAACTCAGGTGTTTCATCTGTGGCGTAACCAAACATGTGGCCTTGGTCGCCGGCTCCAATTTCCTCGGGCTTCTTGGTAAGGTGTCCATGAACTCCCTCTGCAATTTCAGGGCTTTGCTTCTCAATGTTGACAAGGACTCTGCAGTTGTCAGCGTCAAGGCCTACATCAGCGGATGTAAACCCTATTCCTCTGCAAGTATCTCGGACTATTTTCTCGTAATCTACTTTCGCTTTGGTTGTGATCTCACCAAAGACCATGACCATGTTGGTTTTCGTACATGTCTCGCATGCAACTTTGCTCTCGGGGTCTTGTTCCAAGCAAGCATCGAGAACGGCATCTGAGACTTGGTCGCAGAGCTTGTCGGGGTGTCCCTCATTGACGGATTCGGAGGTGAAGAGGAAGGTTTCCATCTCTAGACTGCGAAAGAACAAAATAATATGAATCACTTCTCCATTTCAACCAGAACACTGAAATCTCAAGGAAAAAAAAAAATAAAGAAGCATATGAAATATGAAGGCATGCATAAAATGTCCATCACTGGAAACCAAAAACCGAAACCGAATCCCGAATCATGTCGCATGGTATGCCAGATCTAAACAATTCCCATCTTACCTACCGATGAAATCAGATTTCGATTACAAAAGTCTAGACAACGATGAACAAGAATTAGCCACAGATATCAGCAAACCAATACATCTTGTTATCACAAACCTCGATCTAATTAAACACCACAATTCTCGAAGAGATTCGACGACTGAAATTTTACAAAACCATAAACACCAAATCCTCAAAATATTAAACAGAGAAATCTGAACGTTACAAAAAATTCATCAAATGTAATGAACGAAATGGATCTAACGAAACAAATGACATGCAAATCAAAAACCAAATACCGATCGGTCAGACATTATTCGAAGCAATTGCGAAATAGTAGATCGAGATCGAGTGCAGAATATGAACGAACCTGTGAATGTGAGAGCGAGAGAGGAGGAGGAGGGATGAGAGAGACTTGAAAAAATGAAAGAGAGGGATGCGGAGATTGGAGAGTGGTATTCATATAGACAGGAAGTTACGTCTGACTCGTTCTCTCTCTTTCTGCCATTTGGCTTTGGCAGTGTGTCATTCTCCTAGGTGCGCTACGTTTGGATTTGCCAGCTTGGTCGTACTGGATCCTACTTAGTTGCCATGTGGACTTTCAGTGGACAATCATAGCTTGCCAACTCAGCATGTATATAGTTGCGGGACATGTTTAGTTAATCTAATGCAGTATACAGGTTTCCAAACGGATCATATTGCATGTATAACACATTGAATCCTAAACCCTAATTCGGCCTTGGTCTTTTCTTGTGAATAAATTATACCATCATGACATGGTTTGTTTGGTTTGAGACATTGTCACTTCGATATTTCTATTTCATGCATGTAAATGTTCCATGTTTGAGCCACCATAGCTGGGTTTTGTGAAACATGGATTAATGTCATTCTTATATGAGATTGCTTGACCATGGAGGGGTTCTTGTCCGATTAGCAAGTTGGTGAGGCAATAACTTACTTAGGCAATGATGAGTAGTTGGTCCATGATTATCAGATGTAAATCATAATCAGGTTAGCTAATTCGTTGACGGACGTAATCACACCTAAAGATGATGACAATTGCTACACATTCTAAAAATAATAAACACGCTCTCCATTTCTCTTCGTACACACGCACGTTTAATCATGCTCGTTATTTCTGTTTCATTTAACCAATCAAGTTGCCAAAAATAAATACTGGTTATGATCGCTAAAAAGAGTGTTTGAAAATTAGCTTCCTATATGGAATGACTATTGCCTACTGCAAATCCATCGGATTAATCAATTTTGCCAAACAGACGTTTTACCCATCATATCACAACTTGCTTACTTGTATGCCAATACCATTGAAACTATTCTATAAACATTTTAATGAAAGACAAACAATTGTGTCATAATTAGCGTCTAATTTTTGGCTTTTAGCCAAAAACCTCAGTTTGGCATACTCAAATTTTGCACCGTCCGTCGCAAACTTGTTGCTTAGGCTCATCAGTTGTATACAACATGTTTGGTTATGTGAAGAAAGAGGAGACGTGGCATGAGTTGCATGATAAATTATCAACTATCTCTATTGAGATCAAATTCCATTTCAGGCTTATATACAAATGCAAACTCGTACATATTAAATTGGACACTAGTTCAACACCTCTGTGATGTCGAATCATTAGTTTGGGGCACTGTGATGTCCCCGTTTCATGTAAGTCCTCCTTGTTTGGCAACGCCTCATGGGTTGTGTGAAACATGTTTAGGTCTTCGCTAGCCCTGTTCCCTTGTCCGGGCGAAGCCCCAATCGATGATGAGTCACAAGATTAGCATTATGTCACAACATATGATCACTCTCACCCAAGGGGCTTGCGCCTGATTAGCTAGTTAGTGAGACAACGTCTTATGATCAGTAGTTAGCCTGCGTCCAATCCCTGATATGTGAATCATAATGAGGTTATCCAATTGATACCACCCCTATCATATCTAAAGCTTATGATATATATTGCTATATATGGAATGACTATTACCTACTGCCAGTTTCATGTCATCAGATTAGTGCACTGAAAATTCTTTTGTTTTAGTATAGATATATTTTACACTAAGGGGAGGGAGGAGTTTGGCTAAGCCACCGGCAACCTAATTTGGTATTGAATTCACCATCCACGAGATTCAAACTAAAACCTTTCACTTACAAGTGAAGAGGAATACCACCAGACCGTAGTACTAAGTGACAATTAGTGCACTGAATTTGCAACAAAATTTCACCATGAAGTCAATTATATCATAACTTGGTTGCTTGCATACCACTGAAAACATTCTATAAGTTTAAATAGAAGACAAACAATTGTGCTATAATTAGTGGTTAATCTTTGGCTTATAACCAATGATAAACAGGTAAGTCTCCCATGCCTCAATTGGCTTTTAACCAATTGAGTTTGCTGATTGCCTGATACTGATAAACCAAGTGTGTAAAAGGATATAAGAAGCTAAAATGAATGATAGAAAGTACAAGGAAACTAGCTAAGGCATGGAAAAGATAATATTAGTAGCTTAGGCCAAGTTGAAGTCCAAGGGCAGCATGGACAACAAACAATGTCATGATCCCAGTGCCCAACACCCCATGAACTGTTCTTAATTCAGGTTTACCCTGTAAAAATTAAAAAAGAAAGAACAAAAAACTGAGTTGCATGATAAATAATACAACAAGCGGAAAAAGAAATAGAGCGTAAACAAAGTTATCAAGAACACTCAACACCGTTTGACTCGTTTAAGGAGTTGTTTCTCTTTATTGGCAAATCACAATCCGATATAATTTTGAAAAGTGACTCATTAAAACCATGGCAGAAAAAAGTTGAACGCACACGTCAAATTGTGATTTGTCTGCAAGGAGGAACGACTCCTTATGTGTTGTGATCTGTATCTGTGTTGTTTCAGAATAAATATTACCTCAAACAAAGCAGGTAAAATTGTTTGTATGGTCAAGAGGCTAAGACCAATGAGCCCTGTAACAGCATGAGGGCTGCAAACATAGATACAGATTAATTTCAGCCTCAGTAAAGCACACGAACTGATCCCTTTGTTGTATCTGTAGTAATCTTTCCAAATTACTGATTCGAAAATTTACAGAAAAATGAATTTTAGTGAAGCATAACATTTTTTACCTTTCAAAAATAGGTTTGTCCGAAGTGAGAAGAGATGTTACTCCTCCAGTTGCTCCAAGAGCAAAGAAGAAAAACATACCTGCAAGAAGCTTAGGATGCAAGTCTTTGGCATTGGCCTTCTCCTCCTGAAATGACCAGAACATACCATGATCGATGTACTACTTAAAATATTAGGCGTCGTTGGCTTATCTAAACATATGATGCTGTTGGGTTCATACCACATCATCTGAAAAGCGTATCCGGTAACCAAGATATGTTCCATAGCCGCCCATAGCAAAAAGCACAACAGCCTACAAAATACATGAAACCATAGACAATAATGTCGAGCAACTTTAGACGAATATCTTTCAAGGCCAGCGCGACATGATTAAGAGAGGTACATTCTTTTACTTAGCAGAGTAAAACAGCATACCATGTTGCCCGGGTGACCCCAATGAACAAGCCAGCCAGGAAGACCAAATGATTTGACAAGCTCAACGAAAGGCTCGAACAGAGATGCCACAGTACCAGCTAGTATCCAAATTTTCAGATTAGTGTAATATCAGTAGGATTAGTTTTAAACGTGGTAAGACATCTAGCTTCTGTGATGAAAGGACTGTTTATGCTTTAGAAGCAGAGAGCAATGCAAGGATAAATGCAGCAAGTCTTGTAACTGCAACGATGAAAGGAACCAACTTACAAAAAAGTTACAGAAAATCAGAAATAATCCCCAAAACTTAGAAAAAGCTTACAAAATTCCTATTTAAAGCTATAAAACCCAGCAGATTAAAAGCAATTGGTGAACTATTATCCTCAGAAAAGTTGTCAAGATTTCAAAGTAACACAACCACATGCGCTCAACAGGTGTGAGATTTTGTCACAAAGTAAGAGGCCTCATGCAATTAGAAGTGGAACCATTTGATAATAAGTATGTAATATATCATGTCAAGTTTCCTCTCACATAAATAAAACATCAAGTCAGGTATATGCTGAAAAATGTTAGAGTTAAAATTAAAGGTATACCTCCAGGAAGAGCAGCCAGGAGCAGCAGAGGTAAAGGACTGAAGGAGTAGAGAAGGGTCTCATTCGCATTGGCATTCCCCACTTGTTGTTCTTGGTCAGCCGCGTCATCATCTTCAACAATGTCTGAACTGAATTTGTCGTTGTTGATCACAAATGGAGATAGGAGAGTTTTTCTACTTCTGTTACTTGCTGACGCGGAAGTTACTGGTGGCATCGGCGCAGGGAAGCATTTGGAGGAAGGTGGTCGAGCATTGGTCAGAAATCGAGAGGCACGAAGCACAAGAGGAGAAGACGGATTCAGAGAGAGGTGAGAAGAGGCAGTAACCATAGCCATTGGTAGAGAGATAGAGAGAGTAGAGAGAGAGCGAGAGAAAGCAAGGGAGAAGATAACAGAGAAGTAGGGAGGGTAGTGGGAATGGCGAGGAAGGAGACACGACTGTGAGTGAATTGGTATAGAGGGAGATTCTCGACACTGAACAATTTCTCATTGGTACTTTCCACGTGGTTTCCACGCGAACACCTTACAGTCTACAAGCTCATCTTTTTTGGTGCCTTTTAGCGACCGACTTCGTGAAACGAGGACTTCCATGTAATTGTGGGATGTCAACATGTTAGCGTTTCAAATACATGACAACGCGTGATTCACTTAATATGGTGCTCTTGTTTATTGTTTGAGTATTTTTTTTCTCAACCAGATAAAAAGTAAGTTGAATCTCAAGAGAGCCCCAATTTTCAAGGGATTTTTTTCACACGTCCCTGAGTATCTCATAGCACCAAGTGTTTTAACATTTAGATGTTCAATTAAAAATACAAAAATTAAGATTTAATGGTTAAAACATCCAGAGTATAAAACTGTAGAATTTTTGCATTTCCCAGTGCAAAATCTTGAAACTTTGCATCTAACTAGTGCAGCATTATTTCGTTATTAATATCTTGATACTCCAAAACTCATATATTTTTCTAACAAGAGCATTGCTACCGTAAATGCTGACTATATCCTTAAGAACAGAGAATCCCTTCCTTGAAGAGAATTATCATTAAGACAAACCTACCAGGAAAACAAAAATCATTACGAACTTAAAAGCCATGGCGACTGGCGGATATATATACATTGCGAGGCATAAGACCATTTCGCTTCTCGACTTTGCCCGCCCCGTATCTCCTTCTGCGCGCGTGGTCTTCAATTCACTTTCTTGTTCAGATGGCATAGGCTTAGACTGCTTCAACTTCAATTGTAGTAGATGATCTGGCTCCTTGTTTGCAACACATTCGACATATAGAAGTTAAATTAAGCGTATGATCAACAAGAACGGAAATAACTTTGTACCAGCTACGTTAAATGATCTGGCTCCTTGTTTGCAACACATTCGACATATAGAAGTTAAATTAAGCGTATGATCAACAAGAACGGAAATAACTTTGTACCAGCTACGTTAAACAAGCGAGGATCTTAGAAAACTATCCATTGCAAGAATCATCATCAAAACTGGAAAAGTGAAACTGTATGGTTTCAAGCATTTGATTTTGAATGTGGAAATTGGTCTTCTCGTGAGTGAGACTGTATATATAGTTATTTACCGCGATGAAGGCAGATAGTGGACTTCCCTGCAGAGCCAATTCATCTGTTGACGTGAAGAATGTTGTTACATATGGTACCCCTGGTTACCGACTCTCTTTGAGGATCAATCATCCATTGGCCATCAACAATGAATTTTATCTGCAGTTAACAACATTTCACATCAGATACAGTTATTCAAGGTTCACACTCCTCGCCAAAGAGAAAAAAATGTCATATCGTTTAGCTGCTAGATGTGCACACCTCATACGTCCCTGGATAAAGCCACAGCATTGTTGACCATAGTCTAGGTTCCCTGCAAGAACGTGTAGTCCTAGCAATCAGTGTTATTCCACTAATATTTCTGAGCATCAAGCATATAAAACACTTGAACTATTTTAAATGGAGAAATAGCACGGCGATAAAAGGGAACATTAACAATAACCTACAATAATATGTCAACTGATAATGACAAATCTTCAGGAAAGATAAAATGCAAATTAGGCACAACGGAAGCAGCAAGATAAAATGAAAGTTTGAGGCCAAATTATACAGAGAAAAGGAGTGTTAAGACCTCTCTATGACACTAGATGATGGCTGTGGATCCATTTCAATCTGATGATACCAACCATTGAAGCTACCAGTCACCTCCACAATCTTGCCATCTCCCTGGTACTGAATCTCAACCTGATGAAATCAGGAATTCCGTTCATGCAAATGGTGTATCAGTGTATGTATGAGATTTTTTTTAATTTTTATACGTGTCATGTATCAGAATTTGCTTATGTATGAATGATGAAAAGTCAGCGATGATTACTAGGGCTTTTGTTACTTACAAAACATCCTACTCACTGCCAAGATGCTCTAATAGCATAATTAAATATATACAAAAATATGTCCAGCAAAATGGTAGATGTGATACCTCCACTAATCCTGAAAGGCTTTCTTCATCAGCAAGTAACTCTGCATCTTTTTCAGAGACAAGCTTTTGTGCTTTGCTCATTGCCATTTCAGATTTGGTTTGCAAGTTTGACAAAAAAAGCTGAAGGAAGAAGTAAAATCCACTATAATCAGATCAGTAATAATATTGCCCATAAAAGTACGAAACTCCCATTGAAAAAATTGCATGCAAACACAAGCAAAATCAGATGGATCACCAGCAAAAAAATCGGATGGATCATACATATTTCTATATTTTGATACTGTGAACAAGGTCATGCCATATAAAGGAGCGCCCAAAATAGCTAATATACCTCTTCCTTCTGAATCTGTTCTTTCAACTGTGACAATTCCATCTCCTTCTGATGCTAAGAAAAAGAATATAATCAAAATTATAATCAACAATTCAAGTATATAGAACGCTCCATGGCGTAAGCAGAACATTAAGAAAATAGTACCAGCATGAACTTGAGATGATTAAGTTCAAGTTGATCCTCACTTTCACTTGTCTGTAAAACAAAAACACAACAGTCAATGCAATACTGTTGTCAAAGTTGATGTTAGAAGTAACGTAGTTAAGAGTTAAGTAATGACCTTATCATCCAAATCCTTGTCATATAGAGAACTCAGCCCCTCAGTTGATGAACTATCCTCCCTGCTTTGTAAACACAAAAAAGTTCTTTATAAAACTAAGAATACAATAAAACACTGTTCAGTCATGCATCACATTTGACCTCCAGATCCGTAAGAGCATAATCTAAAAATTCGGATTCTTATAATGTCATACTTTGGGATTTTACAACAAAATTAGGTTGAATAGTAACCACATGCAGAATGGAAGAAACAATAATAATTAGAGAAGAAAACAAGGAACTTTGGACAGATGCACAAGTTACCAACCTAAGAGAGGGATCAACTGCCGTAGTTGATGTTGATGTCCTTCGATTCAATGCCATAATTGCATCACTTCTGTCTAGCACATTTTTAGGAATTCTTATTTGAACCTCCTCAGTGTTTCCAAATCTACATTTTTCCTTGATTTCTTCATCATTATTCTCAGTTAATATGCCATAGACATTATCTGTATCAAGAAGCTCCGAATAAATATCAAATATGAAAGAAACAAAGAATTAAGGTGAAAGAAGAATGAAAGGGAAGCATGTAACAAATAGCATGAAAGTTAAGTATATTTAGTAACAAACAGTGTGAAGATAAGCATACGTCTGAATGATTTAGTGCTAAAAAAAATCAACAGTGACAACAAACAAGAAAAGAAACATCATTGATAGTGCACATGAACTAAAAAAGGATTAAGTAGCAGAACAAAATTAAATGTGAAAAAAATTTGAAAGCAAGGCATCTTAAGGCAAGTTACCTTCAACTGCATCCAAGTCTCCATTCTGCATAAAGTTTGCCACTTTTTCCTTCAAGGATAAATTGGGTGGAGATTCTAAAGGCGGATAACTATGATGATCAGAGTTGTGACTTGGATCAAGATCTGAACTAGAATGGTCTTCCAAAACAGAAACTATGGTTGAAGAGCAATCTTCATTAGCCATATTGTCAACCTTCCCATCCTGACATATATCTAAGACCTTTTCATCCAATGACAAACCATCCACAGATTCTACAGGCATGCGAGGACGTCCATCAGAGTTTAGATCCAAACCAACATTTGAACTAGAAGAAATGGTTTCTTTGACACGACCAGTGGTTGACAAGGATAGGTCATCAAGTTCGCCCAAGGATGAAGGGGTGAGAATTTCTGAAGGACTACCAGAATTACTTTCCAAGACTGAAACTTCAGTTGACAAAGAGAAATCCTCAATCACATTATTCACCTGTTGATCCTGACCTTTTAAATTGTTAAGAGGCTATCAGTAACAGTTGCACATACTATAAAATAAGGTTGCAAACATAAAAAAAATATATATTGACCTGTTACTATCTCTTTACGATCATCGATTGCATCCTGAATTCCAGCAAATCCGGTATCGGCATTACCATTGGTATCTGTATTGCTTGAGTCCACAAGAAGCTCTCTTATAAGTTTATATCCTCTTCGTCTGACAATGTTTGCAAGATCATTCCTATTCGTCATTTTTGATAAAACAAAAATGTCAGACTTGCTCCAATTTATGAAGTCTCCAAGTCAAAACTATAACACACACACACACACACACACACACACACATATACGTAATATAACATAATATTAAGACTATACTACCGTTACCACTAATGTCAAAATTTGTTGAAGAAAACAAAAATTGCAACAAGCAAGCAGCAATTGATAATCCAAACGTTATCGAAACTTCTGAGAAATCAAAGAGGCAATTGTAATTCCAACTAAATCTTTCAGTTTCACAGATAAACCCTAACTAATCAAATTCTGGCGAGGGGAAAACGAACCAAAATTTATCAGAAAAGTGATGGAACAAGTTCGAACCTTCCGTGCTGCGAGAGCTCCTTCAAGGATGGAACGTGACATTCCGAAAGTCCGACCGCAGTGAGGAACTGCCGGAGATCATTGCAGAGCTCCGCATTGCTCTTTACCTTCCTACTCAAAATTCCAAAACACGAAAGTGAGAAGAAGAAAAAAGTGTAGAAGTGAAAGCGAAGAGTAGAGACGGGGAATGCGAACCTAGTTTTCTTCTTGACGGAAGAAGCGCGAAGGGTGCAGCGCGGCGGCGGTGGACAGCGTTGTAGGGCGGTGAATCCGAGAGTGGATTGCTGCTGCGGGTGGGAGAAGAAGAGCTTGTGAGAGAAGAGGGAGAGGAAGGCGGGGAGGTGAGAGACGGAGGCCGCCATGGCTCTCTCTCAGTCATCACTCATTAGGGTCGTTTGGGAAGTGAAAGCGCTTTCTAGAGAGTGATTTTGGGTTAAAGAAAACAGTTAGAAGTGCTTACTGCAACGCAGCTTTTCTAAGAATTAATTTACATTTTTATTAAATATTAGTTTTTAATATATCAGAGATTTCAGCGATGAAGAAGTTGTCAACGAGCGGGATTTTTGCAGCAACCATTGAATTTAGCAATTTTTTTTTAGGAATTTTAAAGAAAAGTTTATGTTATTATTTATTTTAACGAAAAATTATTTTTTATACTCAAAAGTTAACTATGATATTATTCACTTTATCTTTTATTTTATCTTTACTGTTAAAATTTAAAATTTTCAAACCATTTTCATTATCATTATATATTTTTTTTTGTAATTTTGGAGGAATTTTAGTTACCACCAAAAAAAAAAAAAACAAAACAAAAAAAAAGGGTAAATTTCGGCCCGCGCTAGTCTGACCAAATGTCGCAAGGTCCAAACAACCCAATTAACTTTAGAAGCCCAAAAATAATATGCTTAGTGGCATGACAAAGCCAATTTAAACTTGACACGTGTTCATGTTCAATTATTCACATAATTATAAAAAAAAAAGTTAAAAAAAATAAAAACATAAAAAAAATTATATTTAATGTTTAACAAATGACCAGTTTCGATTGGGTAATAGTGATTTAGTAACAAGTTAGAACCATATAACTTGCTTGCTACTCTACTTGAATCCAACTTTTTAAACTCAAAAACAATTTTCAAGTTTTAGGCTTTAAAAACTTGTTTGGTATGACTTTTTTTTTACCTTTTTCGTCTCTCCTCCAATCCGCTCTCTTTATTCTCTCGGTTCTTTCTCTCACTTCTCTTCCTCTCTATCTCCTCTTATCCTCTCACTTCTTTCTCTTTCCTCCAATCGTCTCCTACTTTCTTTCCTCCTCTCTCCTCTTTCTCTGTCGATCCCGTCTTTTTGGATCTCTTTGTCCAGTTTAAGTTGTAAGATTTAAAATTTTTAAATTGCATACCAAACAAATTTTTGAGTCTTAAATAAAATTGTTTTCAAGAAAAATTCTTAAGAAATGTTTTGAGAAATTATAAAAATTTCAAATAGGATACCAAACAAGCCCTTACTTTTTCTCATATTTTGAGGATATTAGAAAAGATAAATTTCTTGAATAAGTAATTCATCTTTAAGTTGGATATATTTTTTACATTTCTTCCTCCAACATACTTTATTTTACTGTGTTATCTAATACAATTTAATCTCGTAAAACAAATGAGGCCGTAAATATAATATACCATCAACAACGGATACAGGTCCAAATAATATTATGACTTGGGATGAATATAGGTACCCAAATAGATGTAGATTGCATACTTCATGCATAGCATGAAGGCAATTGCTAGAGCATATATGTGCGCGCAAAAGCGCATAGGCAATTGCTAGAGCGTATGTGTGCACGCAAAAGTTCATACACAATCATAGGTTTCTAGTACATATAAGGTATGTTTAGTGGGCATGAGTTATGACCAATTAAAATGGATTTTGAGTCCAGTCAACTGTTTGTTATGTCAAAATAGAAAGTGGACGGGATGGGTTATGCATCCACAATACAGTAGGTTATCTAATCTATCTTTACACACGGGTTACAACGCGAGATTAGCAATGTAGCATGCAATCTTCCTCTCCTCCTATGTCATCATCGTCATCTCTCTTTTCAAACGTCGTCTTTTTTTCTCTTTTATACGATTTGTGACCAACGAGTTTTTGATACGATTTATATCAGAGGGTACATAGACTAAGTACAGGTTTAATTTGCAGTAACATGTACAGATTGATTCGAGTTTCACGCGGTTGCATGGTTTTGTAGCATGAATATGTGGATTGTTGGTTGCGACAGCATCATGGGTCATGGTTGTGACGCCATCGTGGGTTGCAATTCGTGACAAAGTTAAGTGAGTCGTTGGGAAAGAGACCTTTTTAGGATACCTCGTTCCAAGTCAGGAGAATCCTAGAAGTAGACATTGCACCATTTTAGGAGTTGTGATTACTTGTGGCACACGCCAATTCCTAGATTGTAAGAATTCCAAGACATAAAAGGGATCAGATTGATTATATATCCAGATGAGATTGTGTGCCTTGCGAAATAAGCATGGTTATTCAAGAGGAGTCACTAGGACTTTGCCTATTACCCCATAACAAAGTGATGGTGGCACGCTGCTCCATCTGATCCAGCTTCGCTTGGAGCTGTTGAGTCCATGAATAGACTTTTAAGGTAACGATATTCCGAGCAACCTTACTCTAGCCATGAAAAATCATGGTCCCACAAAAGATATTGCACCCTCTTAAGAGTTGTGATTACTTGCAACGCATGCCAGTTCCTAGATTGTAGGAACTCCAACACATATGAAGGATATGATTAATTCCATATCCAGATTAAATCGTGTGTCTTGTGGAACAAACATGGTCATATTAATAGAGTCGCGAAGACTTCACTTATTGTCCAAAATAAGGTAACGGTGGCATGGCTGCTTTGTTTGATCCAGATTCACTTGGAGCTGTCGAGTCCATGACCAGACTTTTGAGGTAACTGTATTCCAATCAGCCTTACTACGGCCTTGAAAAATCATGGTCTCACACCTATTTGTTGGATGGTCTCTAAGCTCATACTATTGCTGCTGACATATTCAAAATGTGTCATCTGCAACTTCTTTTCCTAGTTGTCTGTAGAATGGTGACTATTGCTCAACTCACTTTATTTTTGGCAAGACAAAATCAAGATCTCTAATGAGATTAGGATGAGTTAAGAGTTGAGTGAGCATTCTCATCTACTGATTGAGCGTCATTTTGAGGTCTACAAACTATAAAGAAAGAGACTTTAGATGTGTAACAACCCGTCCCAGAAATTACAGAACTGAAGGGTATTTTCGTAAATTTTCACTTTGGGCTAGATATTTTGAAGGGATTGCTTTTGGTCTTAATTGGTGTGCTCAAGGAGCCCACCCTTGATTTTTTTTTCCTCGGGCCCAAATCTTCATCTCTTTCTGTTCCCTCACAACTCTCTCTCTCTCTCCCTCACTTTCAGCCTTCTCATTTCTCTCTTAGAAACCAACCCTCATAGAGGGTTTTCACTTAAACAACAACACACAACAACAACCTAGACTACACCACAACCTTCCCTCATTGTCCCTATGAGTTCTTGAACCAAGAAGATAGAAGAAAAACCATTTGAAAACTTACCCCCGAGCTGCATTGTTCAAGGAACTTCTCCAACGATTTCTCGCCATTTCTGACGAAGGTAAGCCTCGAAATTGGTCCCTATCATTGTATATCATGTCTAGGTTCATGGTTAGTAGGCCTAGCAAAAGGGTCGTGTCTGTCGTATTCGTGTCGTTTTCGTGTAACACATGTTATCTTAACGGGTCGTGTCGTGTCGTGTCGTGTCACACCCGTTATCTTAACGGGTCCTTAATAGGTCGGGTCACTTTACCCAACGGGTAAAGTGACTCGACCCGTTATGACCCGTTAAGAAAAAAATATATATTTTTTTTTAAATTTGCACATACCACACATTGCCACATAAATATTACTTCAAAACATTAAAACATTTGTCGTTTAAGTACTATATCTACACTCGAAAATAAGAGCCTAATAAAAAAATAATACATACACTACTAATCTATTACAAATATTAAATGTGCAAGGATATGCAAAATGAAAGAGTTTTTGTTTTCAAGATTGTAAGTCTTTCTCAAAAGTTTACACCTCTATCTACAAAATCTTCAATTTACATTGATCATCATGAAATTGTATTGAAATTTTGGCTTGATCTATTGCCTTGAAGAGTTATGTTGAAGATGTTTTCAGTAAGGTTTTCCATGTCAGAACTCTCTTCCGCATAAACTAAGTATAGAAAAACCAAACATTAAAAATCATTCCAATTATGAGAAGTTTACCAAAATAATTATGAAAAGAAATAAAATAATAATACTATACCATATAAAAATATATTAAAATAACCGTTAAATCGTGATTTTTCGTATATAACCGTCGAAAAGCTTTGTCCCGTTACTTGATCTCTGAATGTTTGTTTTTTGTGATTTTTTGTTGATGTGATCTCCAAGCATATACAAACAAGTTTGACGGTTTGGATCGTTGAAATTAGTTTTGGAGAATTCTTATCCCAACAAAACGATAGATTGACTAACACTTAGAGTTTATTTATACTTTCATTAAGTATAACATAAGATTTTGTGGTATCCACTTGTGTAAATATTTTAAATTGAAGATCGAATTCATTCATTGTATTCATATAGCGTCAATGAGTGTACCTGTAAAAAATCATCAAAATCAGAGTTAAAATAACCGTTAAATCGTGATTTTTCGTTTATAACCGTCGAAAAGCTTTCTCTCGTTACTTGATCTCTGAATGTTTGTTTTTTGTGATTTTTTGCTGATGTAATCTCCAAGCATATACAAACAAGTTTGACGGTTTGGATCGTTGAAATTAGTTTTGGAGAATTCGTATCCCAACAAAACGATAGATTGACTAACACTTAAGAGTTTATTTACACTTTCATTAAGTATAATATAAGATTTTGTGGTATCCATTTGTGTAAATATTTTAAATTGAAGATCGAATTCATTCATTGTATTCATATAGGGTCAAGGAGTGTAGCTGTAAAAAATCATCAAAATCGAAGTTAAAATAACCGTTAAATCGTGATTTTTCATTTATAACCGTCGAAAAGCTTTGTCCCGTTACTTGATCTCTAAATGTTTGTTTTTTGTGATTTTTTGTTGATCTGATCTCCAAGCATATAAAAATAAGTTTGACGGTTTGGATCGTTGAAATTAGTTTTGGAGAATTCATATCCCATCAAAACGATAGATTGACTAACACTTAAGAGTTTATTTATACTTTCATTAAGTATAACATAAGATTTTGTGGTATCCACTTGTGTAAATATTTTAAATTGAAGATCGAATTCATTCATTGTATTCATGTAGGGTCAAGGAGTGTAGCTGTAAAAAATCATCAAAATCGGAGTTAAAATAACCGTTAAATCGTGATTTTTCGTTTATAACCGTC